GCATGGCTGGGTGTGCAGGCCCAACAAGCCACCAGCTTGGTGGCAGTTGGTCCCTGGCACTCACCGGTACCATGTGCCCTGGGCCTAGGTGGGATGTGTTCCATTCTGGTTCCTCTCCAGTGTCTCTCATTCAAACCTGTGTGACTTTTGTCAAGGGCAGGTGGGGACAGGAGAAGGGGGAATGACTTTAAACTGACAGAAGGGAGACTGAGATGAGATGCGAGGAAGAAGTTTTTCCCTGTGAGGGTGGTGAGGCCCTGGCACAGGTTGCCCAGAGGAGCTGTGGCTGCCCCATCCCTGGCAGTGTTCAAGGCCAGGTTGGACAGGGCTTGGAGCAACCTGGTCTAGTGGAAGGTGTCTCTGCCCGTGGCAGGGGGTTGGAACTGGATGAGCTTTCAGGTCCCTTCCAACCGAAAGCATTCTGTGATTCTATGCATTAGCCAAGTCTTAAATGCCTCCTTAAATGGATGAAATGACCTTTTTCCTCCTGAATTTCGGAGGCATTGGTAGCGGGAGGTCCTGAGAACTGACCTAAGTTTCCCTAAAGAGTGACTATGTTTCTCATCCTCTGCTGGGAGCATGAAATGCTGAGTCGTGGCTGGCACAAGGTGTTCATGTAACAACCCCTTCCCTGCTGCTTCTCCTGACTTCAAGATGCTTTTATATGCTTTTGAGAAGCAAGCCATGTGGGAATGAGCTCCTGGCATCTCTTGCCTGTGCTGCCAGTGTGTGGCTGGTTCCCTGGCACAGAGATGAACCCATCCTTTCCAGATAAGCCCTTCTCCCCATCCTAGCGGCTTTTATGGGCTGCCCAAGCTGTTCTGCTGCAGATGCCTCTGGACCAGAGAGAAGTGCAGGAAGGTGGGCTGGGAAGTTGTGTTCAGAGGTTGATACTGTGGGCAAGGAGGAGTCGGAGGAGAAAACAAGCTTATTTTATGGGTTTTAAGGAGAAACGAGATCCTTCTTTCCCCAGCCCTACTAATTAGGCAGCGTGCTGGGGAGGTTCACTTGCACTCCAGGATGGGAAGAACCTGCAAGGTGCAAGCACCAACAGGCTGCAGCCTGTCAGGTCTTCAGGTGCCACTTCTCCAACTGACCTCCTTTTTGCCTCTGCTCAACACACAGATTTCATCAGGGAAATCACTGACTTCACCTGTTTAATTTGATTCTCTGCTTGTGAAATGAACAACTTGTTTTCATGAATCCTCTGGGCCTGATTCGGGCTCACGTTTGAGCCCTGCAAGGCTCTCTTGAACACTTTGCGCTCTCCTGAAGGGCCTCCTGGGAGGCCTTGGCTCAGGCAGGAAAGTCGTAACCTCATTTCCAAGCTTTACTTTTCAAATGTGCATCTTAAGGACTAGAAATACAGAACCTGAAAAGTCTTCACAGCCCTTGGTCTCAATAGATCATAGGATCACAGAATGGTTTGGGTTGGAAGGGACCTTGAAGCTCATCCAGTTCCAACCCCCTGCCAGGGGCAGGGACACCTTCCACTAGACCAGGTTGCTCCAAGCCCTGCCCAACCTGGCCTTGAACACTGCCAGGAATGGGGCAGCCACAGCTTCTCTTGGAGAACAAAACAGCTCCAAAACTCAGGGGAAGAACCAGGGTTAAAAACTCCTGTGGGCTGGGGATATTTCCATCCTGGGTGCAACTCCAGGCTGTAGTGGCAAAGGCTAAAGGATGCCAAGGAGTTCCAGGGGGTTTAGGGGTGTAGGAAGCGGGCCAGTGTGTCTGGGAGCCAGGAACATGATCGAGCTTTCTGAAATGGGCTTCGGCGCCTCACTTTGCCTTGCGCCTGGCCCTGCTGCTGCCAGACCTTGCTAGTTCTTAACCAGCAACTTGATTTTGTCACTGTTGCTGCGTGTAACAGAAGGAAGCTGTGGTTATTGCACTTCCTGGCCATGAGCTGGGTTTGCCTGCCCTTCAGCATGGGCTGCGAGCTTGGGAAGCCCCTGAGACGAGAATAGCAGCTTCTCTTGCCCCTTGGAGGTGCTTCCAGTGAAGCCACCAAAGGCCCTGCTCCAGCACTGTTTGGTTCTGATTCCCATTAGGTGGGTACTTCAATGGAGAACGAGGTAGGTGCTAGTTTTATGTTGGCTTCCAGAAATGCAGAAGCTGCTGTTTCACGTTGCGTCATGTGGGGTAACGCCTTGGGCTTTGATTTGGGCTTTGGTCTCAGGGGGCGTGGGATGGTCCTATCACTGCATCCTCCCAGCCTTACAGGGGCTGCCTGTGTCCTTGAGCGAAAAGCAAGTTTCTTTTGGTTTGCTCCATATGGACTGGGACAGATCCAGCAGCCTTGGCTTGGAGAGGTGAACTGAGCTGGAGCTGCCAGACCCTGGCTGGTGGAGGGGAAGGCATTTTGGGGCCATTGTGGCACAACCCTGACCTCAGCAGCAGATTTCTGCATCTCTGCTGTTGATTCCTACAGTATGCTGGTGGAATGAGACATTTATGTGCCAGCAGACAAGGTTTGGGGTTGGATACTCTTGTAGGTGGAGAGGCAGAGCCCCCCATGTACCAGTCTTGGCAAGAAAGAGTTGTTGTGTTCAGGATTTTCTTCTTTCTCAGGCTAGGAATGGTCCCAGCCCCTCAACAGGGTGCCTTCCCTAGAACCTGGAGTGCTTGGTGGTCTTGGTCCTGCTGCTGTGAAGGCAGAGCTGTTTCACAAGGCCAGCGTTGTGTAGATTTGTTTTCTGTCCCTTCTGTCCTACAAACTCTATTTTTATCTCCCTGGTCCAAGGGACATTTTTCAGGGCCGCGCTGTCCCTGATGTCCTTGTGGTGCCTGGCTCACTCTGGGAGCTGGTAAATACTATTCAGCCAGGAGCTTTTCCATCCCACTTTCCCATCCTAATACAACGGTTTCAAATTCTTTTGGTTTGGCTTTAACCTCTCTTGTTCCTGTAGATAGAATCATAGAATCACAGAGTGGTTTGGGTTGGAAAGGACCTTAAAGCTCATCCAGTTCCAGCTTAGCTTTCTGGGCTGCAAGCACACACTGTCGAGTCATGGGGAGCTTCTCATGGAGCAACACCCCCAAGTCCTTCTCCTCAGGGCTGCTCTCCTCAATCCAGTCTCCCCCAGCCTGTATTTGAGCTTGGGATTGCCGCGACCCATGTTCAGGACCTTGCACATGGCCTTGTTGAACCTCATGAGGTTGGCACTGTCCCACCTCTGCAGCCTGTCCAGGTTCCTCTGGATCCCATCCCTTCCCTCCAGTTTGTTGACTGCACCACACAGCTCAGTGCCGTCAGCAAATTTGCTGAGGGTGCTCAGTCCCAGTGTCCATGTCAGTGACAGAGCTGTTGAACAGCGCTGGTCCCAACACCGACCCATGCTCATCTGCACTGAGAAAAGCAACGGGAGAGGCTGAAGCTGCCTGATGGGAGCAGATCCCACACGTGCACCTGAGCATGGTCCTTAGCTGCTGTGCAGGGAGTAGGTGACGTGGTGATGGTGTTCCCCTGCCAATTATAACGTGCTGTGGCAAGGCTCGAGTGGTTTAGGTGAAAGGTTTGCAGCAGTTCTTGATGGTGGTTTCTAAGGCAAAGTCCTGCAGTGGATGGTGGCAAGAGATGAGTTGAATTTGCTGGAGGGTGCTGTTCTTTCAGGTTGCAGAGCACTCTGTGTTTGCCTGAGCAGAAGCACTTGGTTTATATTTAATTAATTTGCCTTGGAACCATCTTTTCTGCCTGTGCAGAATCAGGGAAGTCAAGATGTGGTTGCCCTGAGGAGTGGGATGCAGAAAGCATCACTGCCTTGGGATGGGGCAGCCAGAGCCGAGCATGCATGGGGCATCCACTGAGGAGCTTAGGAACTCTGCCTTTCCCCTCCAGTCCATGCAGTGGCCATTTCACACTGCTGAGAATCCCAAGCCCTGGATCTGCCCACTTCAAAACATCCACTGGAGCTGGTAAACTGAATTGGAGACATCCATGCACACTCCCAGTTGTTTAGCCATGGGGCAGGCTGGTGAGGATCTTGGTGGGGATCTAACATGGGTTGGTGATGGGCCCTGGGTGTGCAGCATTTCTGGGCTGTCTGCCCCATGCCGAGGTGGAAGGACAGTGGCAAGTCTCCCTCTATACCTGGGAGCCCATGTGTGTATGCTGCTGCCAGGTGGACTCATGCTGGCTCCCATGTTTTTCCAAATCCAGCACTCAGTGCTTCAGGAACAGCCAGTAGCTGGTTTTCCCAGGGAAGACCATCTCCTGTGTCATGTACTCACCTTTGTGGGTCTCCTCAGAAACCTCAGACAAGTTTTCAGCATCTCTGCCTTTTCCTTTCACAATCCTTCATAGAGTTGCTTGCTGCAAATGCTTGGGTGAAATATAAAATGGCTGTGGAGCAAGGAGGAGGCATGTGGCCATGACTTGCTGACTCTTAACACTCCTCATCTGAGTAGGTTGGGCATCCTGACTTTAGGGGTAAAACATCCCATTTTGGTAGCAGGCACTTGTGTTCTCATGACATGTCCCAGGAAAAGAGTTTTCAGTGGACGATCCTGCACTTGTGGTATCATAGCTCTAAATCCACACTGCTCAGTGGTTAAGGCTGGTCAAACCAGGCTGTGAGTGCAGATTTACAGGCTGGAGGAGCCCTGGGCGGTGAGTACTGATGGTTTTATAGAATCATAGAATCCCAGACTTCTTTGGGTTGGAAGGGACCTTAAAGCTCATCCAGCTCCAACCCCCTGCCACGGGCAGGGACACCTTCCACCAGACCAGGTTGCTCCAAGCCCCATCCAACCTGGCCTTGAACACTGAAGGGATGGGGCAGCCACAGCTTCTCCGGGCAACCTGTGCCAGGGCCTCTCCACCCTCACAGGGAAGAACTTCTTCCTCACATCTCATCTCAATCTCCCCTCTGTCAGTTTAAAGCCATTCCGCCTTGTCCCATCCCTACCTGCTCTTGTAGTTTCCTTACATTTCTCTGCAGAAACTCCCTTTCTTGCCCTTAATCCCAAGGCCCTGGTGTTTCTCTCTCTCTCCTCAGCCTGGAATAGTGTCTCCTTTCAAACGAGTCTTCCTGAAGGGCGAAAAAGGGAGAGATAAAAAAGCCCAGGAGAAAGTTACGGAGAGGCGGCCTCTGCATACAGTGGTGGTGTCCCTGCCTGATCGCGTCGAACCAGATGTGCTGCTGAATGACTACATCGAGAAAGAAGTGAAGGTAACATCTGCCTGGCTGGGACTTGAATATATATATATATTCATATATATATAGATATATTTATGTAGACTATATATGTAACTATATATAGTTGTAGAGATATATATATGGACTGTATATAACTATATAGAGCATTATGATGTCTTCAGGGCATGACAGATCCTCCATACATAGCATGTCCTAAATATGGCCTTTGGCTACCACCCCTTTGCTCTGTGCTGATAGTGTCTTGCAGTAGCTGGTGTGTTTGGGGCTGTTCTCTGTGTGTTTGTACTGTGGTAATGGATTGGTTCTTCTTTCCCAGTATTTAGGTCAACTCACATCCATCCCAGGGTACCTGAATCCCTCCAGCCGCACGGAAATCCTGCATCTGATCGATAATGCGAAGGTGAGCACTTAGCGTGTTGAGTGACCTACTCTGTGTCACCTCTCCGTGCAGCATAGAATAGACTTTGTAGCTGCCTTCAGGCTGGGTCTTGGTCTAATTGGTGTCCTTCATCCTGGCATTATGAACACGGGAGGGAAGCTCATTACCAGCCCATCACCACAGAGGAAACATTTGAGCAAATCAGTGTAAATTTTTTGTAGAGAGCGCACCAGCTCCCAGGGCAGCTGACCCAAGAACATGATGCTGTCATCAGCCTCTCTGCCTACAACATCAAGCTGGTGTGGAGGGATGGAGAAGATCTCATCCTCAGGGTCCCCATCCATGACATTGCGTCTGTTTCCTACATCCGAGATGACTCCTCTCACTTGGTTGTGCTGAAAACAGGTAGGTTGTAGCCAGCACAAGCTGTGGCGTCATATTTTGGGGTTGCTGTGTTTTGGGGTTGTAAGCCAGAGTCTCACAACACCCAGAGTTGTGCTCATGGAGGACGGCAGCCAGCCTTACAAGAAACAGGACAAAGGTTATGTTGGATGAGAACAGACCAAGGTGCCCTTCACAGAATCACAGAGTGGTTTGGGTTGGAAGGGACCTTAAAGCTCACACAGTTCCAAACCCCTGCCACGGGCTGGGATACCTTCCACTAGACCAGGTTTCTCCAAGTTCCATCCAACCTGGCCTTGAACACTGCCAGGGATGGGGCAGCCACAGCTTCTCTGGGCAACCTGTGCCAGGGCCTCACCACCCTCACAGGGAAGAACTTCTTCGTCAGATCTCATCTAAATCTCCCCTCTGTCAGCTTAAAGCCATTCCCTCTTGTCCTGTCCCTACAGGCTCCTTGTCAAAAGCCCCTCTCCAGCTTTCTTGTCAGCCCCTTTCATGCACTGGAAGCTGCTCTAAGGTCCCCCTGGACCCTTCTCTTGTCCAGGCTGAACAAACCCAGCTCTCTCAGCCTGTCTCCATAGCAGAGGTGCTCCAGCTCTCAGAGCATCTTCGTGGTCTCCTCTGGACTCACTCCAACAGCTCCACATTCCTCCTATGCTGGATACCCCCGAGCTGGGCACAGAACTGTGGGGGGGGCAAGGGGGGGAGGTCTCACCAGAGCAGAGGGGGAAGAATCCCCTCCCTCGACCTGCTGGTCACACTGCTAGTGATGCAACTCAGGGGACAGTTGGTTTCTCTGCTGCAAGTGCACACTGCTGGGTCATGGGGAGCTTCTCATCGACCAGCCTCCCCAGGACCTTCTCCTCAGGGCTGCTCTCCATCCAGTCTCCCCCAGCCTGAATTTGTGCCTGGAACTTGTCCTGCTCTGCACAACCCTTGGGCTGTTGCTGGGAAGATTTCATCACCACGTTGGATGTCTAAATGCCTGTGGTGAATAAGGGGGGTGGTACCACTTCTGACACACCTCACCTTTTGTAATACCTGGGGATTGCCTACAGTCTGTTCCTAGCAACTCTGTGCTTATCACATCTGCGTGGTTTTGGGCTTGAGCATCTGGAGAACGTGGAGCTACTTAAAAGATGTAATGACAGTGACTTAGTGGATTATAAACCCTGTGACAGCAAAGGACAGTCTATACAATAGATGAGTAAGTGACTTAGAAAGCTGTAATTCTGCTGCTGGATTTCTGAGGCCTGCTAAGCCATGGAATTGAGGCTGGTGGCTTACAGAGTTGTCAAGAACTGGCTTTAAATTAAAGATTTTGCATTAAAGACTTTGGCCCTGTGCAGTGTTCAGGTGCATATCCTGAGCTTCTGGGAGCTCTGTCCTCCACGGTGCTTTCTCCTGGCCATGGGATCCTCTGTGCTCCTGCTCTGGGGGCTTTGCTCTCCCCACAGGCATCCTGTTGAGAGTCCAGGTTGCCATGTGAGGACTCCTCCTTGTTTTTTCCCTGCCTCGAGGTTTCCATCACGACTTCTCTCTGTTTCAGCTCAGGACCCTGGGATCTCCCCAAGCCAGAGTCTCTGTGCCGAGAGCTCCAAAGCACTTACTTCAGGCTCGCTGTCTGAGAGCGGAGTGGTTCCTGTTGAAGCTTGTTGCTTGGTGGTCCTGGCTACGGAGAACAAAGTAAGACTCAAGACACTCCATTCAAACTTCCCCACGTTGGGGTTGCTTCCGGAGTCACACTCAGATTGTGACCACACTGGGACTGGGACTGGGGGAGGTTTTCTGGCTCTTAGACTGGGGTGGCCACAACTTCTCAGGTGGATGGTGGAAAGCCATCAGCCCCAGGGTGGCCTCATCCTGCTCTCACCAAGTATCCCCTCTGTTACATGACTGGGTACTTACCTGGCCATATATTGCGTGATACGCATAGGCCCAGTTGCAAGACTAGGGGTTGGGCTTTCCTGGCACACAGGGTGCTACCTGGAGGAGAAAACCTGGTCTCTGCCCCAGACCTGACTTGGACATAAGAGGATTGGAAGATGATTTTCCCTTAGTGGTGGTGCCTGCTGCCCCAGGCTTTCACCAGCAGCAGCAAATCTGTGAAGACAACTGAATCCTCCCACAATGGGATTTTGCTAACCAGGGCATTTTCCTGCTGCTGACCTGGAAATTTGTTTCATCTGGTATCTGAATCCAGAGATTCTGATCTCGATCTGTGTGTTCTTGCTTCAATAGCAAGAAACTTTTGCCTTCAGAGTGGAGTTTTGCTTACCTTGTTTTCAGCTCTAATGGTCTCTGAGGTGCCTGCATCTATTTGGGATGTAGGTTATGTAGCCAAAATTCCAGGGGGCTGTACTAAGTGGTTGGACAGAATGTCAGCATGAAATCTGGGTGTTACTAGCTGTGGGTTGACGACAGAGCATCCCATCTCCTATCACGTGGGTCTGGGTGGTTGAAGAGGGCTGGGATGCTTCTCTGGAGGGATGGTAGATCTCCAGGGTTTGTCTCCTCTAGCAGTGAAAAACTCTATGGGACAGCAGGAGGTAGCTAACAAGGGTGGAAGTTTGGTACCTCCAGCCCTGGAGACCCTGTGGGTCAGGTAGTGCCCAGACTCTTGGACAAGTGGGTTCCATGTCCTCACTGGGACAGCCCTACAAATAGAACACACCACTGTTCCACATGGCATACCCACCCTAAGAACCCAAAGAGAAAGGCCACCGCAGCATCTGCATTTTGCCTTGTGTCAGCACTTCTTTGCTCCCTTCCCCAGGTGACTGCTGAGGAGCTGTGCTCACTTCTCAGCCAGGTCTTCCAGATTGTTTACACTGAGTCCACGATAGACTTCTTGGACAGAGCAATATTTGATGGGGCCTCCACACCAACACGGCACATGTCCTTACACAGTGGTAAGACTGGGCTCTGCCCCTTGCCTTTTCCTTACCGGGCCCATCTGAGATTCTTTCCTCATTTTCACCAACGTCCACCACCTCTCTCCTGCCACCCTCTGAGGTCAGAGCTGATCTGATGGCTTCTCTCCTGCAAGGTACTGAAAACAACCCTCTCCTCTGCTTTAACTGAGTGTGAGTGAGTTGGACAGGCACAAAGACTCTCTGGTTCCTGCAGATGTTTCCCCAGCTGGGCTGTGGGACATGAACCATTATCCTTTCCCCCCAAACCTCTTGCTTTTCTATTCATGTTGGATGGAAGCAGTTCATAAAACAATCCTTTTGTGGTTCTGCATCTCTGCTGAGTCTGTGTCCCGTCCTGCAACAGCACCGCTGGCACCATCCTGGCCCCAGCCCTGGACTTCTCACCTTCCAGCTGGGAAAACCGAGTCAGAAATTGATTTGTGTAGGTCACAGGCTGGTGAAAAGCACAGAGTTTCTGCCTCTCAAACTCCTGTGTCTCGAATGCTTTCCTTGCAGATGACTCTTCTACAAAAGTGGATGTTAAGGAATCTTACGAAACAGAAGCAAGCACTTTGTAAGTTAAATATGGCATGCTGTGCTCACTCGGCACTCAGGCTTATTAGTGTGGCCTTGCTGCCAGGGTTAAAGCCCCCAGAGCAGGAACTGCTGCTGTCTGCACATTGAAAAGCTTCTGCTCAGTCTGGCTGAAACACTGGATGGTGTTTTTACTGTGTGCAGTGCCCTGCTCCCTCCCTCGATTGTTCCACCATTGTGGGTTTCCAGAGAAGGTCACGTACACAGCGTATGCCCAGTCCCCTGCATCGGCAAAGTGGGGATGGGTACGATGCTTGCCCAGCTGCTTTGCCTTGGTGAAGTCCAAGCTGGAGTGGGGAGAAAGGTTTTCCCAAAACTTCTGTATTGTGGAAACTTTTTTCCTCCTGAATCAGTGATTGCTGAAAACATTGATAGCGTTTGTGGGCTGAAAACCTGACACACAAACCAGTTGTTTAAAATTGACTGGTATTATTTGAAAATATAACATTTAGCACAAAATAAGGGGCTTTGACTTTTTCCCCCCCCATTCCAAACAGAGAAAAAGCAATTGGAGGGGAGATTTCCCCACATAAGCCTTCGTTTTCAGCAGGTCACCAAGCCGATGCAGTTAAAGTCCCACCCTGTGCTGTATGGGAGCCTTCAGATGCCCTTCAGGAGCTGTAGGCTGCCAGCATGACTGCAGAGAGCATGTCTCCATGTGCCTCCCCACTTTTCCAGGCCCTCCCATGCCACAAGCACCAGTGACACAGAAGGTGCCAAGTAGATCTGGAGGTCTCACATTCTGTTTGCATTTCAGTTCCTTTCCAGATACCTTGGATGCGGGTGACAACTCCCCCTCTTCCTTCTCCACGCAACAGTCTCCACACATTAAGACAGTCAGCGAGAGTGAGCTGAGCACCACAGCAACAGAGCTGCTCCAGGACTACATGATGACGGTAGGGCGTCCTTGGGTGGCAGGGCCTTGGCGTGAATGGGTTTTCTTCCCTTTAAGGCGTTCAAGTGCTCTTGGGATTTGGTTTCATTGCACTGATGTGTAAAGCATGAGCTCATGCTGATAGAGGAAGATCTCATTCTCCTTTTCATACAAGTTGTACTTGGAGGCCTCATGGACCTGAACACAGGCTTACACCCTTCTGCAGGAGCACCCCAGTCCCTTAGTCCCCTCTCACCACGTAAAGGCGTGCTATACCATCCACGGGGTGCCAGGTCCATCGTTTCGTGAGTCACAGGCCCTGTGTACACCCACAGCTTATCCCTGTTTGAAAGTTGCCAGTTCCAGAGTGGGTCACACCAGCCTGTCCTGCTTTTCCTTTGGGATGAGCTTGTTTGTTAGTGCAGCTCTTAGCAATAAACCCGATAAACACCATTCACAGGCTCCACATCATCTCTTCCTCCTAAAAAATCTCAGTGATGGTTGCACTGTGCTTCTGTTCTGCAGCTCCGCACTAAACTCTCTTCCCAAGAGATCCAGCAATTTGCAATGCTCCTGCACGAATATCGCAACGGGGCTTCAATCCATGAATTCTGCATCAACTTGAAGCAGCTCTATGGGGACAGCAGGAAGTTCCTGCTCTTAGGTGAGTGGCAGCTGCCAGAGATCAATTGTGGGTGACCAAGTGGAAGGTGAGAGCTGGCATCAGTGTGCTCCCAGTCCCTCGTGATGTGCCCGCTACCACTCACTGATGCATGGGCCTCCTGAGAGGGTAGAGAGGTAATTGTGGGTGGCACAGAGATTCCTTGGGATGTCACCAAGCAAGGAACAACATCTCAATTGGTCTCTCCCTTGATGGTACCTCTTTCTTGAAGGCAGCTGAATCCATCTTGCTCAGGCCCTGTCCTCATAGGCTTGAGTTGCTCCTCTCCTTCCTCTCTGCAGAGGGAGCCTCCAGACCAGGCACTAGGATTCTCTGGGCCCACTGGTGGAGAGAGAGAGAATGTTTGGGTCCTTGGCCAGCCATGCAGTGCCTGACATCAAGCGATTCTGGTGGTGGATGTGCTGCACATCCAGGCATATTCAATCTGTGTTCCCTGGAGGGGACTTCATGGTGCTGGAAGGAGGGTGTGCACTGTGACAGGGGAGCAGGACCCTTCTGTTCCTCTTCATTAGAAGGAAGCTGAGAGCCTCAGGGACTCTTCAAATCCCTCTTTCCTCAAACTCCCTGCTTTGATTTTGGGAAGATAAGGGAAGAGCAATTGACATCATCTACCTGGACTTGTGCAAGGCAACTGTCCCACAGAACATCCTTGTCTCTAAACTGGATGGACATGGATTTGACAGATAAACCACTCAGTGGATAAGGAGCTGGCTGGATAGTCACACTCAAAGAGTTTTGGTCAGCAGCTCAAATTCCAAGTGGAGGCTCGTGACGAGGGGTGTTCCTCAGGGGGTTATACTGGGACTGGCGCTGCTCAACATCCTTGTCAGCAACATGGACACCCGAGCTCTAATTACAAACAAAACCAAGTTGGTTACTTAGAATCCTCAAAGGGTAATCAGTGGTGTGTCTAGCCTGTATCCTGCTGCCCCTCTGCTTCCAGCAGGTGACAGCCACCCTCAAGGAAGACCCTGCCCCACTGTGGGAGGCACGAGGGAGACAGCACAGATGTTTCCTGAGTGCAGCCTGCAGCGTGGGCTGCTGCAGCGACAGCAATAAGCTCAGTAAAGCCAAGCCATATGTTTGGGTGAGGAATTGGAAGACGATCCTCTTGAAATCAGAAAATCCCACTTTAGCAGGATTTTTTAGGCTGCAATTCTCAGGGGTGTAAAATGGGAGCTGGAGTCCTCAGGAGACCTCATCCTTCCCTCCCCCCTAAACATGCTCCTCTGCTGAGCCCTGTGCTGTTCGGGGGAGCTGAGGCACAACAGTACAGCAGGACTCTGCTGGAACACTCAGAAACCCCGGGGTGTTTCAGACAGCCAAGCAAATCTATGTGCAAATCCATTCCAGGTGTCTGTGCCATACAAATGATGCTGACAGTTCCCTCCTCGTGTTTTCTTCCCGGCTCCAGGTCTTCGCCCCTTCATCCCTGAGAAGGACAGCCAACACTTTGAGAACTTCCTGGAGACCATCGGGGTGAAGGACGGCCGGGGCATCATCACAGACAGCTTTGGGAGGTACAGGCGGACTCTGAGCACCACCTCCAACTCCACCACCAATGGCAACGGCGCTGCCGGCAGTTCGGATGACCAGTCCGTCCCTTCCGAGGAGGATGAGTGGGACCGGATGATCTCGCACATCAGCAACGACATCGAAGCCCTGGGGTGCAGCATGGACCGCGATTCCTCCTGAGAGCGAGCGGGGGGAGGACGGAGACACCCCACAGCAGCACCGGGATCCTCACCCTCCTTCTGGAAGAGGCTTTGGAGCTCCATCAGGATGCAGTTACTCTCCCATCCTCGTTCACAGCTCCAAGGGGCAGCTGGTGCCCTCTTACCATGGAGGACGCCCGGGCAGGAGCCCAGCCTGCAGCCATCTCCAGTTTGGTTTTACCGCTGCAGCCGGGAGATAGGTCACCTACAGCCTCCTGCCTGGTTTACAGTTTTGCACATGGTATCCCTATTATAACTGCTCTCCTCCTCCTCTTCTTCCTCTCCCTGTTTTTGAATGAAGTTTACCACAATGTGAATTATTTAAACCTGGTGTTGATGTTGTCGAAACGTTTTGGCTCCAGCCCCACAGGAGAAGCTGCCAATGCCTGTGCTGCTGCTGCCCGGCCTGAAAACCCCACCATATACCCCCAGCTCTGCTCAGGGGTCCCCAGGAGCTGGAGAGGGGGACACACAGCTAAAGTTTTCCCCACCAGCGGATTCCTGTGTGCCCACAGACCCCTGTGTCTGCGACAGCCTTCCCTTCCTGCCAAGCACAAAGCTTTGCCCCATGAAACTCCCGTCAACTCAGTCTTCCCTGGCACCCACCCTAGGGTGCATGGTGGCTTCTAGGGCTCCCTGGGGACTTTGCTATCCCTGAGGGCCAGCACCAGGATGGGAGAGCTGACGATGGGCGCACCCTAGGAAGACTGGGGGTGTGCAGGGGATGTTCATGTTGTACATGTTTTATATACAGTTATAAATAACACACTTATTTTTTTAATCAGGATTCCCATGCAGAGGGAGAGATGCCATTTGCAGCGGGCACCAGAGGAGAGGGGGGTGGTCCCTAGTTATCCTGGAGGAAGGATGGGGCTGGAAGAGGGATGGGACATCCCAGGCAGCACCCAGGTCTCAGCCATAGGCTCTGGCACCCAGGGGTGTCTCTGGCAGAGCTGGGAGTGCTCTAAGAGCAGATGCTGGCTCAGTAGTTTGGGGGATCAGGCCTTACCCCCGAGTGCCTTTAACCCCTGCTCTGCCCTTGCAGCCCCCCCCCCAGCCCCCTTCCTGTCCATCCCAGGCAAAGACCAGCCTTCATCCATCTGTCCTCCCTCCCCACCTTGCTCTGGCCATTCCTTACCTGCCCTTCCCAGGATCGCAGGCACTGGCCCCCGGTACGATCTGGCACGGAGTCACCATTGCACCCCACATTAGGCTGGGGTCAGAGTGACCCCAATTCTGCTCCAGAGAGGGTCCTCACAGCCCAAATCCTTCTTTCTCCTTGACTCATGGGGTACACGAGGCTGCATCACTCCAGTGCCAGGCTGAGATACAGCTGGCCCTTTCTCTGCCAGTTTCAAGGCTGAAAAGAACAAGGCAAAGGATCCCAGCACACATCCTCCAGCAGGAGGAAAAAGGATTTAGCCAGGACATATCCATCACAGAGAGCATCTTCCTTGGAAACAAGCTGCGATGGAGAAGCTCATGGTTTCCTCCTGCCCTGTGTTTTTGCCATCCGCCGAGGAAAAGGGAGATGAAGGTGCCAGCTCCATCCATGGGGTCCCTAGGTGCTGGGGACTGAGATCTTCCTCCTCTCCTCTTCCTCAAGCCCAGGAGGCAGCAGTGTGGGGCTGGAGTTGTTTTAGTGCCTTTCTATGATTTACAGATTAAAACCCAAATTGCACATGTGGATGTTCAAGTGTTTAACAACTTCAGGAGATTTGGAAGCGAAAACACCCTATTTGTGGCATGACTGTGTATGATGGGGTTTAAAACAAGCTGTAACCATTTGCAGTGGGTTAATACTCCAATGGGACTTAAACCTGGGAATAACCTGGGATGTGGCCTTCTGGGAGCCAAGGGGGTTTTCCTGCCTTCGTCTCCCCATCGGTGGCACCGGGAGGCCGCATGCGTCTGTTTTCTGTATGGAGTGTTGCTACAGGTGAATACAGTTCTGCACCCAGCCATGGCTTGTCTCCTTGCAAAAGCCCTCACTCAGCCCTCCTGGGTTGCCTGGCTTCATTGAGCACCTCTAATTAGCAATAGGGGGGTAAAGCCCAGATGGCTTCAGGAGCATCTTGGGACTCCTGTCACCCCATCCCACCCCCAGAGGCACCTGTCCCAGCACAGCCACCCAAATTCCCCAGGTGCTCCCCCCAGCTCCACGAGCCACAGGACAGCCCAGAGCCCCCCCAAATCACCAGGAGGAGAGGCGGGGTGCAGTCCAAGTGATACATGAGGCCATTTATTGAGCGATACGGACGCAGAGGAGAAGTATGGGGGTGTATAGAGGAAGGATGGCAGAAAGGGGGTAGTAACTGTGCATCTATACAGGGGGGCCAGGACAGCGCCGGCCGCTACATGGTCAGCTCCTGTGGAAGAGAGCAGAGTGTGAGGGGACCACCCCACAGCACCCCAATTCGTGCTAGGGGTGCCAGGGGGTCCCCCCCTTCCCAGCCACTCACCATGATGGCGTTGACAATGTCATTGTTGTTGTGCCGAAGTGCCCGCACGGCTTTGGGGCGTGAGACATTGGCCTGGGCCATCACCAGCTCAATGTCCCTCACTTCCAGTCCCGTCTCATCCACCTGCAAGGTGGGAACACCACTGTCACCCCCCCAGCACTGACCTGTCCCCAGGACACCGGGGGTTCCCCTCTGCCCCAGCACCCACCTCCTCCTCCTCCTCGCTCTCCTCCTTGATGGTGAGGGTCGGGGCCGTCTCCGTGATCAGTGGCGAGTTCTCCATCGGCACCTTGAACTTCTCTGCCGCCGCCTTGTGCACTTGCTGCGACAGGTCCTCAATCTGCGGGGACACAGCATCACCCACCCGTCCCCAAAGGGATGTTCCTGCCAGCCCCAAGGGGGGCACCCCCCACCCCTCACCTTAGCTTCTCCAAAGACAATGTAGATGTCAGACGCAGGGCTCTTGAAGACATCGGGTTTGGTGATGACAAAGAGGATGTTCTTGGACTTGCGGATGGTGATGCGGGTGACGCCATGGATCTGCCGCAGCCCCAGCTTGGACATGGCCTGGGGACACACACACACACACACACACAGATGACCTCATGTCCCACCATCCCAGGGCAGCCAAGGTCCAGCCCCCCAGCAACATCCCAACCCCTGGGACAAGAGCAAACCCAGGGTTGTGGGACACCATTGTCCCCCCAGCTGCAGCCAGGCCAAGTCCCCTGCCAGGACAGAGGACCCCACATCACCCCAATACCCCCCATGACCTGGAGACCCCCAAAGTGGGGACTTGCCCCCAACACCCCAAGGCTTCCCCGCCTCCAATCCCTGGGATAGGATGAGGACCCCCGTGCCATGGGTGACCCCATCAATCCCATCCCACCTTCCTGGCCTTCTTCTCGCTCCGGCTCTGCTTTGCCTTGCTGACTGTCTCCTCCCCGGTGCCCAGTGAGTGGGTGAGCTGCGCCTGCCAGAGAGCAGTGGGTGAGAGCAGTCCCAGCACCATGGGGGGGCCCCAACATCCCACATCCTGCCCCCAAAATCACCCCAACCTGTGTCTGCGCTGGTGGCGGCTCCGAGCCCTCAGGCTCCTCCAGCTCCGGGATGGACTCATCGTTGCTCTCCGACTCATTACAGGACCCTGTGGCCAAGCAGAGGGGTGGGATGGAGACATGCTCTGACCCCAGAAAAACACGGTGGGGAGGGAGCCCCACGGGACCCTCCTCTCACCTTTGTGGTTGGCCTCACAGCGGCGGGATGCCAGGGGCTGCTTGTCCTGGTGCAGGGCGATGCCGGCGGCTTCCCGCAGGCGCTGGATCTCGGGGCAGGGGTACGGAGCCTCTGCCTCGCTGGAGGAGCTCGACTCCAACTGCAGCGACCCCCGGGGGGGAGCCCGGCTGCCCGGCCCTGTCTGCCGGCCTCGGGCCTCCTTCTCCTTGGGCGGGGAGGGCTGAGGGGCTGCAGGGGGGGGCAAGAGGGGACTGAGCCAGTTCTGACCCCCAAACTCCCTCCCCGTAGGGCTGAACCTGCTCACCCCATCACACAGCCTGTGACCACCCAAAGCAGACCCCCAGCACCACACCATGGGTGATGTCCACCCTGGTCCCCCACAGTACCCTATGGGAGTGGAAGGGTAGGGCCGAGCTGGTGGTATCCCCCAAATCCCTTCTGTGGGGCTGAACCCACCCTGGGATCCCACAAAGAGGACCCTGAGCACTCCACCATAGGTGGCACCAAGCAATGCCCACCCTGTGCCACGATACCTCATGGAAGCAGAGAGTGGCTGAGGGGCCTGAGCTGGTGATGCCCCAAAATCCCCTCTATGGGGTCAAACCCAGCCTCCTTATCCCCATCACACACCCTGGGACCTCCCAAAAGGGACCCCCAGCAGCCCACCAGTGGATGATGCCCACCCCACCCCACAGCAACGGGTAGGTGTGTGCTGGGGGTGCCTCTTACCCTCGAGGTGCTTCCTGGTGGGCAGCAGGACAGACAGACGCTCCTCGCCGGCAGGGAGCCCTGATGAGGTGTCCCGGGGGCCGCGGGCTGGGTCGGGACGTGGCGATGGTGGCGATGGGGCAGCGGCGAGAGGAGGCACTTGGCTGAGTTTGGGGAGCGGAGGGCAGGGGGCTGGCAGCACGCTGGGGGGCTCGGGGCAGGGTTGGGGGGCTGCATCCCTGGCTGGCTCCGGGGAGGGCTCTGGCTGAGCATCCCCCCCTTGGCTGGCACCCAGAGCGGGCTGGGGGCTGGATGGGGTCCCCACCATTGTCACCATCATCTCCTCTTCCTCCTGCTGCCTGGGGGGTGCCAGGGGCTCACTGGGGGGACTCGGGGGGCTGCTCTCCCCCAGGACTTTGGCATCGGTTTCCCCAGCAGTCTGGCCCGGGGGGGCATCACCAGGCAGAGGGGTCATGGGCTCCTCTGTTGCCCCATCACTTAGGGGACCCTCCAGGGGCTCTGCAGATGCCTCGGGGGGCTCTGTGGGCCTGGGGGGGAGGCGGGGGGCCGGCAGATCCCCAAAGGAGCCCTGCAGCATGGCAGTGACCCGCTGCCGGTCCTCCCGGCACTGCCAGCCCGCCCCGCTCTCTGAAAAGGCACCGGGTGTTTGGAGCAGTTCGAGGGGGGCCCCCACATACACCTCCCGCTCTGAAGCGGTGAAGAGCAACGGGGGGGCGGCAGGGGGCAAGGTGGGCAGGCAGAGGGCCAAGCAGCGGCGGGCAGCAGCATCCTCTGCATCCTCCTTGGGAGACGGGGGCCTGGGGGGGGAGGCTGCTTCTCCTGCGTGGTCCTCGGGAGCTGCGAAGGAGCTGGAGCCGGTGCAGGAGCAGGAGGTGTCCAGCAGCTCCGGGGGGGAATCCTCGGAGGAAGCAGTGGGAGCATCCCGTTCCTCGGGGGCTCTGCTGGTACTCCCAGGGGGATGCACCATTGTCTCCTGTGCCGTGGGACACGTGGTCACTGGTGGCTCCAGGGATGCGTTGGCTGAGGCTGCCACATCCACCGGATCCTCACTGGCATCGCAGGGGGACATGTCCTGTGGTGGGGAGGATGGTGCCAGAACGCTGGGCATCACTGGTGGCACCCAGTCAGGGTGAGTGGATGCAGTGTCCGGCTCGTCCGGTGGGAATGGTGTCACCAGTGATGCCAGACTGGTGGCCATGGTGTCCGGCTCATCCAGTGAGACTGGTGTCACCAATGGCACCACGTCAGTGGCCACAGTATCCAGCTCATCTGGTGGGATCGGTGTCACCAGTGGTACCATGTCAGTGGCTGCAGTGTCCGGCTCATCCGGCAGGCTGGGTGTCACCAACGACACCAGGTTGGTGGCCATGGTGTCCGGTTCATCCAGTGGGATCGGTGTCACCAATGGTGCCATGTCAGTGGCTGCAGTGTCTGGCTCATCTGGCAGGCTGGGTGTCACCAACGACACCAGGTTGGTGGCCATGGTGTCCGGTTCATCCAGTGGGATCGGTGTCACCGATGGTGCCATGTCAGTGGCTGCAGTGTCTGGCTCATCCGGCAGGCTGGGTGTCACCAATGACACCAGGTTGGTGGCCATGGTGTCCGGTTCATCCAGTGGGATTGGTGTCGCCGATGGTGCCATGTCAGTGGCTGCAGCGTCTGGCTCATCCAGCAGGCTGGGTGTCACCAGTGACACCAGGTTGGTGGCCATGGTGTCCGGCTCATCCAGTGGGATAGGCATCACCAGCGGCACCAGGTTGGTGGCTACGGTGTCTGGCTCATCTGGTAGGTTGGGTAACACCAATGGCACCAGGTCAGCGGCCATGGGCTCTGGCTCATCCAGTGGGCTGGGTGTCACTGGTGGCACCGGGCTGGGTGTCACTGATGGCACCAGATCAGTGGCCATGGTCTCTGGCTCATCCGGCAGGCTGGGTGTCACCGGTGGTACCAGGTTGGTGGCCACAGTGTCCTGCTCAGCCAATGGGCTGGCTGTCACCGGTGGTACCAGGTTGGTGGCCACAGTGTCCTGCTCAGCCAATGGGCTGGCTGTCACCAGTGGCACCAGGTTGGTGGCCATGGTTTCTGGTTCATCCAATGGGGTGGGTGTCACCAGTGGCACTAGGTTGGCGGCCATGGTGTCTGGCTCATCTGGCAGGCTGGGTGTCACCTGTGGCACCAGGTTGGTGGCCACAGTGTCCGGCTCACCCGGTGGGCTGGGTGTCACCAGTGGTACCAGGTTGGTGGCCACGGTGTCCGGCTCATCTAGAGGGCTGGGTGTCACCAGGTTGGTGGCCAGACTGTCCAGCTCATCATGGCCATCAGTGGCTGCCAGCTCGGTGCTGTCCACTCTCACAGTGCCAAGCTCATGGTCACTGTCACCAACATCATCACCATCATCATCATCACTCCCAGGGCCACCCTGGGGCTCCCCGTTAGCTGGTGCCACATCATCCTGCTGCACCCCATCAGTTTGGGGGTCCCTGGAGCAGAGGCTCGGGGGCTGCAGGACACTGCTGCTCTCCCCTGGCTCCATGCTGGGCCCCTCTCCCAGTGCTGCCATGACGGAATCATCCTTTGCCACTGGCTCCTCCTCAGCACCCAGCATTGCCGCTGGTTCCTCTGGGAGCTGAGAGGGTTCTGGTGGGGGACACTCCCTGGGAACAGGGTTTGGCTCCCATGGGACGTTGTGCTCCAGAGTTAATGCTTCCTCCAGCTCTGAGGAGGAAGAGGAAGACGTGAGGAAGGTCTCGCCATCTGGCTGCACGCTGCCTTCCCCAGAGGGTGCTGGGGGGGTCACGCTGCCATCCTGCTCCTGCATCCCTGGCTCCATGGTACTGATGTCCTCCCTGATGGCATCCTCCACACTGGGCATCACGCTCGCCGGCTCCTCACCTCTGCTGTGCTGCGGGGACCCCTCTGGTGACCCATTGCCATCAGGGGCCACCCCGGCGTGAAGGTGGAGCTCGATGCCGCCGTCCCCAGCAGCACTGGTGCCGGGGTGCGCAGTGACGGTGCCAGGGGGAGCCCCCTCGGCCCCCATGGCGTGGCGCTCGGTGCCATAGAGCCGCTCGTCCTCCTCGCCATCGTAAGCGGCCGAGTCAGAGGAGGCGGAGGTGTCATCACGGAAGGCGAAGGACTCATCCACCCCTTCGGTGATGGAGGTCTCTGACAGCGAGCGCAGGAAGGAGGCCGAGGTGCTGCCACCTTCCTCCTCCTCCTCCTCTTCTTCTTCCTCCTCATCATCCTCATCCTCCTCTTCCTCCTCGCCGGTCAGGGGCAGCAGCGCTGTGCCGGCGGGCAGCGGGGTGATCTCCACCGCCTCAGCCTGGAAGAGCAGGCTGCCGCGGAAGGGCAGCAGTGCCGCCGGGATCAAGCCCGCACCGGGCAGCCCCTCACCCCCCATGTCCCACTCCTCATCCTCCTGTTCGTCCTCCAGCGTCTGCCCATCACCACCATCAGCCCCGGGCAGGGCGAAAAGTCCATCTTCCTCCTCATCCTCCTCCTCGGGAGACGGCGGGGTGAAGGCAGGGGGGTGCTCCAGGCAGGGGGACAGAGCTTCCACCTCCACCATGCCTTCAGCCTCAGCTTCAGCCACTGCCAGTGCTTCGGCCTCGGCCACCAGGTTGGGGGAGCAGGACGGGGAGGTGCTGGCTGTGCCGGAGGACCCCCAGCTGCCCCCCTCGGCCGTCATGTAGGACCCGGAGGGGGATGTCGGGGGCGAGCAGAGCCCCTCGCTCTCCCCGTCCGTCTGCTCCTCGGAGGGAGGCGGCAGCAGCCGGGACCCCCCGACCCGGATGGGGGTGGAGGGGGCCGTGAAGAAGAGGTCGGGGTCCATGGCGGCAGCAGCTGGGGTTCTCCCGGAGGGGGGCTCAGCCACTTGGCGCTGGGGGGGATCTTTGGTGGGCGCAGGGAAGGGGCAAGGCACAGCAGGCAGGGGGCCCCCCCCCCGGAGCTCGGGGTCGGTGGGGGAGTGCGTCTCCTCCCCCATGACGATGCGGGTGTCCAAGGGGTCTGTGGGCAAGGGGGGCCGGCAGGACTCGCCGGGGGGGGCAGCAGCAGGGGGGCCGGGGTCGCAGCTGGCCCCCTCGGGCTGCGGGCGAGCCTCCTCCTTGGTGGGCATCGGTGGCGGGCCTGGGGCCGGCGGGGGGGCTGTGGAGAGAGGGGGGAACCCCCGTCAGTACCAGGGCACCCTGGGGTGGGGGGCACCCTTCCAGGACGGTGCCATCCCCCTCTATGGGGGGAAAACAGGGTGACCCCCACCCAGAGCTCTTGGGGGTCACCACAAGGTTGGGTAACACTGGGTGGGGGGGACACCAATAGCTCCCTCCAGCCCCTCTCTACATGTGAAGGATAGCACTGTATTAAGGAAAGGGGGACACTCAGGTGTCCCCAAAGCAAGGGGACCCTCTTCATGGTGGCGGGGGGGGGGGGATAATACACCCCATATCCCCCCACCTCACAGCATGACCCCTGCAGGGAGCTCTGTGCCCACCCATGCACCGAGTGTGCGGGTCCTCAGCCACTCATTACCCAGGTAGGGAATGCTGCGGGCATGGAGCATCACAGCATCCTCCCCCTGCCATGAACACCCCAAAGCCCTTCCCAGCAGTGCTCCCCACATTACCTGGGGTCCCCAAGGGCAAGCCCATAGGGAAAAGCAAGCAGGACCCACCTCCAGCTCCAAACACAGCAAAGCTCCATATGCCCCCCCAGGGGGCTTTATATAGGGGTGAGGGGGCGGGGCACGGCCGAGGGGGATGCTGGGAAGGGGGCGGGGCCTCACCTGGGTATTTAGCAGGTGCTTCCCCCCCCCCCCATAGACCTAGGGTGGTTCAGTCCTGCTGCGTTGCCCTTGGGAGCTGGGGGGGTGCTCAAAGGGTTAACGGGGGGTGGCTCTACCCTATGAGGGATACTGGGATCACCTTAAGCCTTCCCTGCTGCTGTTTGTCCAACCGCCGGCTCCCCCTATACCCATTGGGGGGTGTTCTGGGGTTCCCGTGATCCCATCCACACAAAGGACCTTGTGCCCCCTTGCAGGGGAAGCCCTGATTTCCCTCCTCCCCGTGCGCAAATCAGCCCCTCACCCCCTTTTCGGGGGGATCATTGTACCCCCCATATGTGGCTCATGGGGAAGGGGGGGGGGAACTGAGGCACAAGGGGAAGGCGGCACTGGGACAACCCCCCCCCTCCCCCGCTGTCCTCAGCCCCCCAGGGGATGCCGGAGCGGGGTGACCTTGGGCCGCGGCTCTGCATTGCCCGTGCCTCAGTTTCCCAACCCCGTTGTCCCTGGTGGGCTGGGATGGTGCGGGGGGGGGGGGGCTCAGCCTCCCCGGGGCACCGAGACCCCCTCCGCGTCCCGGCGGGGCTCCCGGTGTGGGGAATGGGGTGGGCACAGCCCGGGGCTGGGCACTGGGGGTGAAGAGGGAGGTGTCCCCAAAGGGGTGTCCCCAAAGTCACCTCCCGCCGTGCTCCGGGGGTGCCGGTACCGGAGCCCCTCAGCGGTGCTGGCTGCCGAGAGCAGCTGGTGCTGCCGGCCCTGTGTCTTCCATCCCTCCTGCTCCTGCCTCCATTGCATCCCTCCATCCTCCCGCTCCATCCCTCCATCCCGCATCCCTCCATCCCCGCGGCCTCCCCTCGGCCTCACCTGCCACCGATCCCTCCGGCATTCCGTTTTCCTTCTCCAATCCCCCCAGCCCTTGGGTTTTCACCGATTCTACGGGCATGGTGATGCCAGAGCCCGGGCGGCCGGCCCGGGCGGCCGCCTGCCCACCCAGCTCAGCCACCTTTGGCTCGGGCTGGACGAAGGCGGCTGCGCCGGCAGGAGCGGAGCATTAGTGGGGCTCGGGCGGGGGGGCCGGCGGCCGGATCAGCCCCGTCATCCCAGATGATGTCAGCAGGATTTTTTTTCCCTGTTTTTTTTTCCTCCCGTTCCCTTCCCTGCCTTTTCTCTCTCTCCAGTATCTTTTTCCCTTGTATTATATATCCCTCCGGCAGGGAGAAAGCGGGGTGTGTGCCAGGCACTGCGGCGGTGGGAGGGGAAGGCAGAGCCCACCCCGTCACCGCCTGCATCAGCTCGGGGAGGGGGGGGACACACACACAACACACACAGGGAGTGGGGTCCCCCCCGGCTCAGTTTCCCCACCCGGGGTGGGATTGATGAGCAGGGGGGTGAAGGATGGATTTTGACCCCCTAAAATATAGGGATGAGCATCCAGAGGTGTCCTAGGGATCGGATTGTTTGCATCACTCCCCCCCTAAAGTAGATGCGTGCGTTTGGTGGTGGCAGGAGGATGGGGGGACGCCGGTGTCCCCTCCCTGCGTGTCCCCAGGGCATCACCCCGCGCCCGGGTACCGCTGGGGAGGTAGGATGGGTGCCTGCGCGGTCGCCATGGGAACGGCCCTTCTCCTCCTCTCGTCTCCGTGGTGATGGCGAGGAGGATGAGGATGGCTCCCTGGCAACACGGCGGGGGGTGGCGGTGGGACCCCTCTCTCTCTGGAAACGGTAGGGAAGAGATCCTGACGGATGGATAAATGGCGGTGCTGGTAGGACAGGTGACGCCCCCAGACCCCCAGTGACCCTTGGGAAGAGGCAGCCTCTGCCGCAGGACGCTGTGGGGAAACTGAGGCACAGCCCCAGGGCGAGGGGGGGCCGCCTGGTGCCGGGCATGGAGCGATGCCGGTGACGCCGGTGCCAGGAGCAGCCCCGAGCCATGACTCAGCAGCTCCAGAACCGCCACGGCCTCTGCCACGGGAGGCAGAGCCAGCACAGGGCTGCAGCCCACAGTGCTGCAGGCGGGGACACACAAGCACACGAGGCTGTGCCCCACAACCAGAGGAGATGGAAGGGACGTGCCAAGGAAGAGCAGATGGTCACTAATCCAGCCCCAAAGCCACTCCTGGCACCCGGTGCATCACGGCACAGAGGGTTTTCGTGGCCCATCTTGTTCCCCTAACCCAGGTTCACGTGTACTGTGGGACGCTGTGTGTGTGCTGTGGTAGAAGGGGAAGCTACAGAGGCACCAGGCCACGTCTGGGCAGGATCTAACCCTTCCCAGTTACACTCTCCCATATTCCCAGGGCACCAGACCTCTCCCACACCTGTTCAATGTGTCCCACTGCTCTGGGTGGAAGCTTCACAGCACCTGAACCAGGTGTCACAGCCCATCCTCCCTCCCCTCTGGCACTGCACAGCCGCCTGGGGACAAAGCCCTGCTAATAAAATGGGACTAAGAGAAGACAGGATGGCTCTTAATCCTTAGCTCAGCTCAGGCTGGCTTCCTCTGGGCACTGAGCCACAGCTGTGTGACAGGCATCCTGCTGAGCATCAGCATGAAGCTGTCTCCCTCCCCAGGAAGAGGCCAAGCTGTGTGGCCACCAGAAGAGACACCAACCAGCCCTGACCCCCACCACCCACCCAGCCTGCAGCACTGTACAGCGATGGGTTTATTCAAACACGTTTCCAACACAGAGGTGCTGCTGGAGCCACGGGGCAGTGCTGGGGTTAGCTCGCCATCTCCGTGGCCAGGGCCTTGTTGAGCTTGTCTTTGAGGTAGGCTGTCCGCTGCCGCTCCGCCTTCAGGTCCAGGAACTCGTAGTGGGGCACCTGCAGCAGGATGGGGCGAAGTAGAGATGGAGTCAGAGCCCTGAGATGCATAACAGCATCCTCAAGGAGTCTCTCCCACTGGGACATGGGGCACAGGCAGCCCATAGGCTGGTCCCCATCACAGCAGAGGTAGGCACTGAACTTGAGGCAGCCATGTGGATGGGTGAGAGCACCCAATGGTCCCATCCGGCAGTGGCATTGGCACCCAGGGAACGAACCACAGACAATTCAGGACTGTCCCCAAATTAACCCGCGTGACCACCAATGAACAACGGGGCTTCTGTGAGCAGCCGGGATGGCACAAAGCACTGGGACGGCCCTACTGACCACCCTGCCCCTTGCAGAGGAGGATGTGGGGCAGCACCTTCACTGTGAGGAGGCTCAGGGACCACCTGAGCACCAAACCGTGTTTAGTTTTCCATGTGGATGCAGAGTACGTGCAGGGCTCCATGTCCCTGCTGCCAGCCCATCCCATCCTTCTCCCTGTGCCTGTCCCAGCCTGGTGAGCTGCAGATGAAGTGTTTATTTGGAGGGCACGCAGCTGGGGGAGAGGCTCACGTGCCCAGCACTTGCTCTCTGGCTGGAGGGTGATGGTTCAAGCTGTGTTAGAACACTGGCACCAGCACGTCGTTCCTCAGTGGTGCCTCTGCCAGCCTGTACGAGGGAGCAGCCGTGTCTGGGGGGATCCCACCACCCACCCCTGCCTCTATATTTAGCAGGGCTGAAGCTGCAGGAAGCAGCACTTCCCTTCTCCTCCTCCTGTCTCCCTGAGCCTTCCCAGCCAGCCAGAGTGGGGGATTATGCAAGAGGCTGGAGAGAAACAGCGGCGGTGAACCTCGAACCTCACTTCACATCAGCCTCAAAGTTTGGCAGTGAGCTCAGAGAGCTGGAAGGAACACGCTGGGGAAGGGCTGAAGCTCAGGGTTCTCACATGGAAGAGCATCGGACAGGCAGGGGAGATCACAATAATGCTCTGGGGTGACGCATGGCCCTCCAGCCTTGAAAGAGCCACACAGCTTGGGCAGTGCTGAGCCCAGGCTCTGCAGGGCAAGGGGCAGAGGGATGGCTCCCTGCCCATGCTGGCAGCACGCTGAGCCACCCTCCCTCCTCCCCCAGAGCAGCCAGTACCAGAGCAGTGCTTGCTGCCTGCCAGGAGAGCTATAATTACCTCCAGAAAGCTAAATAATGCATGACCCCATGGCTCCAGCGCAGGGGATCAGCACCCTAAGACCTTGTCTGCTGTCCTCCTTGATTACCAATACCCCCACACCACCTTCAGGCTGCCTGGCAGGTGGCCTGGAGGGGATCACAGCAGCTAATCCCAGTGACAGCAGGCAGGAGGGCAACCTGCTGAGCCATCCTCATGGAGCTGTGGGCACCAGGGAGCGCTTGGGGCTGGCCTTGGGGTTTTGCAGGACCCAGAGACACCAGGAAGGTGGGGGGGGGGGGGGGGTTACAGAAGCCAGACCCCCCTCCATGAAGGTGTCTGCTCCTCCATCTCCATGGAATCAGAGATCCCTCTCTACCCACGGCTACTCACATCCACCACGACGAAGCCGGCTGCCTGGATGTGGCGCCGGGCCATGACGAAGCGGCCCAGCAGGTCCTTGCTTCTGTTGCTGAAGTTGGGGAACTCCCACCGGAGGAAGGCAATCCTAGGAGATGCAAAGGGGAGCGGGAGGCTGTGAGATGAAAGGCTGGCCATGGGCACCATAAGCAGAGCTGGCAGCAGCACTCAGATCCCAAGGCAGCCATGGCAGAAGGGCCCGCTCCAGCTCTGCTGATTGCCCTGTGCCAGTGGGACACAGATTTATCCTGCTGGAGCCATTACCCTGCCTCTGAGCTATCCAAGAAGCACTAGGACAGCAGCTCAAGTGAAATTTATCCACCATCCGTGCCTGACAGCAAACTGAATGGGGTGATGCTGCCTTTTCCAGGCAGGAAGGAGGCAGCTCAGGGCCCTGCAGGCAGCCAGGCTCCATAGCAGACAGACCTGGCAAAGGCTTTCTTCAGAGGGAAAACCATCGGCACAACCTGTATGTGACCCCCTTCCCTTGCTGTGCTGCCACCAGGTTATCTGGCCAGAGCAGCCCCTCACTACAAAATGCTACCCTGGGTGGGGATGGCACAGCCTTACCCCAATTCTGTCCAGTGCCCACCCCTTCTGCTCCCAAACAAGGGGGCACACAGCTGGGCATCACATCCTTGGCACACATCACTGGCTGTGGTGACCGGGAGGCATGGAGCCCGCAGCTCCCCCCCACCACAATGGCAGAGCCCTCCTTCTCCCTCTTCCCCCTGCAAGCTCCTGCCCAGCTGGCAGCCACAGCTGAGCCCAGACCCACCTCCTGGCACCTGATGGCAACAGGTTTGTCCCTTCTGGGCAGGGCAGATGGGGAGCAGCAAAGTTCTTCACAGGGAGAGGTTTATTTTCGCTGTTCACCACCATCTCAGCATCTGCATGGAGAGGGGGGGAACACAAGGACTCCTGAAATCCCACCTGGATGCTGCTCACACACCATGTCTCTCAAGACTGGTGATGCAGAGCATGCAAGGTCACACTACTCCCTTCCCAGAAAACCCATCCTTGCTGAAGCTGTGGAGCACCTCTGCACATACAGCCAGGGATGGAGTCTGCTTCCCAAGCATCTCCTCAGGCAGAAGACATGTCCATAGCCTGATTTTAGCCCAGCATCCCATGGGGAAGGGGATGTGGGGCTCATGGACCACAGAAGTGGCTGTGGCAGCCATTTGGCCAATCCTTGCCATGGAGGAGGCATGGATCGAATTTGACAGGGCTGCAGGAGAGCAAGGAGCTGGGGGAGCCTGGGGTGGGCTGCAAGAGCCCAGGGTAAAGCAGAGGAAGGGTGAGTAGGGCCAGAAGGCTCTCACCAGCCTCGATGCTGGTTGGCTGCAGGAGGAAGGCATTCCTCCTCCATCTGCTCCCCACAACTGTGCCCTGGGCTGCGGTTTCTGCTCTGCCATGAGTTGGAGGAAAAGATGAAACAAGGCAGGGCAGCTGCAATGAGGAGGCATGAGGCTGGAGAATGAGGGGGGTTAAACCCTGGTAGCTGTATCTGAGCCCTCAAGTTCAACTCCCTCCACTGCTGGGGTCCCGCTGCTGCCTGTAGAGGGGGCAGAAGAGGCACTCACCGATCTGCCAGCCGTAGATGGTGCGTGCATCAAAGCGCCCGTTGTCCTGGCTCCCCAGCACCCCCACCAAGGCCTCCCGCAGGCTGCTCTGCAGCAGGGTCACCTTCTCCCCTGCTGGCTCTGCCACGTTCAGCATCTCCGGCGGCAGGAATGGCCCCCGATAGTCAGGGCTTTCCAGCTTGGCAGCAGCATTGATATGAACAAGCTTCAGCTGTAAGTTTCGGGCCTTGAGGGACTGATCACCTGGTGGAAGGAGAGAAACAGAGCTCGGACATGGCTGAAAGCCCTGGCTCTTCATCTGGTGGCCTGTGTAGCCCGTGTGACTGCAATTCCTGGTTCCAATCCCCCCATGACGGTTCCCTGCCTACTGGCATAGAGGTACAGTCCACCAATGGCCAAATGCTGGGGGGGCTTGCAGGAAGATGGCAAAGCCAGAAATCCCTTGTTTGGCAGGGACAGCCCCACAGAGGCCAGTGTCTGTGGTGTGATTTTGTTCCCAGTGTCCCATGGGAAGGCAACATGGGGCTCACAGACCACAGAAGTTGCTGTGGCAGCCGGCTGGCCGGTCCCCACCACGGAGGAGGCAGGGATCGAATTTGACAGGGCTGCACCTCCCCAGCAGTCACCATTTGGTGAGGCAATACAAAGCCCTCCAGTCTTGACAGGTTCCCTTGGCTATCACTGTCTTGTTCTCCTCCTCCCCCATCACACACAGGCACAAATGCACAGCCCAGGGGAGCTGCTGGAGGCCATGGCTCTCATTAGCTCAACTCTCCTGGTGCTGCTGCCCTGCACTCTTCATGCCTGGGTAACCCTGCATGGAGCTGTGGGGGACATGTTATAGCCACCCCTAATGAGATCTATTTCCTCATGGTTCACAGAATTATAAAATCACTTGGGCTGGAAAGGACCTTAAAGCCCATCCAGTTCCAACCCCCTGCCATGGGCAGGGACACCTTCCACTAGACCAGGTTGCTCTAAGCCCCACCCAACCTGGCCTTGTTAACAAGCTGTTAACTCAAATTTAGATGGACCAGGCTCAGCACCCCCACTTCTTGTGGTCTGAGGTTCCTGGGCCCTGTCCCACTGTCAGAGATGCCCATCTCACCTTGGATCTGAGCGTGGAAGTCAGGTGCCAGCACTTGCTGCAGGTAGGGAGCCTTGGCCTGCTGTAGCACGCAGAGTGACCACACCAGATCTGTCAGCAGGTGAGGCTCCAGGCTGTGCAGCTGGCCCTGGAGCGCCTCATGGACCTGCAGAGAGGGAAACCAAACAGCTCGGCTCAGCACAGTGCTGCTGACATCTCGGTCTTGTGGACAACACACAGGTCTGGCAGCTTGACAGATCCCTGAGGCCTTATGGTGCAACTGATGTGCACCATCTCCTCTACAGCAGTACTTCTTCCCTGGGTTATCTACAGAAGGGAAGACATTAAGATCACTCCAATGTGTCCGTGCAGCTCACGAGCTGTGGTTTGCAGGCCCGGGATGCTGCATCACTGCAGGGTAATGGATCACTGCAGCCAGCCCTGCCACAAGGCAGTGTTCAGGAAAAGGAGGGCTGGAGGCGACAACCTCATCAGGATCCGCAGCTACAACAGAGCTGGAAGGGTCTGAGGCTGTGTGGGTGGTGTCACGGTGTCTGCCCAGGAATCACAGCAAGAGCCTGGAGGTCTGCACCCTCCCGGGGCTCTTCCTTTTCTACGATGTCTCAAAAATAAGTAGTTTTGCACTTGCTACAAAATCCCCCTTCACAGGACCATGACTAATGCTGACAGTGGGAGCCCTGGATGCTACTTCTCCACCTTGTCCTTCTCACTGTCCCAGGGAGACCTCCTGCTACCCAGGCTGGCCTGGCCACAAGGGATGGGCTGCCCTGCGGTGGCACATAGGGGCCTGCCAATTAGGGACACCCATATCTGATATCCTGGGCTGCACCACCTGCAGCGTGACCAGCAGGTCGAGGGAGGGGATTCTCCCCCTCTGTTCCACTCTGGTGAGGTCCCACCTGCAGTCCTGCATGTGAACATCCCCATGCTGCTTGTGGCTGGCAGAAAAGCACCCCTGCAGGGCCAGTCATGGACTAACTGGTTCAGCTGTTGCCCACACGCAGCCAGGGGAGCACAGTGAAGGTTTTTCAGCCTAGCCAGAGTTCTGGGCTCCCTTTTCCCATTCCCCACACCATTTACAGCTGCCTCAAGCCACCCAACAGCCATTTTCACACAGGGATGTGCTAGAAGGAGATCTGCAGCCTCCCTACCAACAGAGTTGATGAAGAGGGGGAAAGGAGGAAGAAGGTTACCATGTTGAAGAAATCCTCACTTCCACTGGGCTGGAAGTTCAGGCGAGCAAAAGACAGGATGATACTGCACAGATGGGTGACTGACAGCTGCTTGGTGTTGTCCAGGGCATACTAGGGGCAAAAGCAGAGGTTTAGGTTTGTCCTGTATCAGTCTAAAATCAGGGAAACACTGAAACTGTCAGCCAAGGATGCACACAGCCCCGTGGCAAGATGGGAAAATGAGAGCAAAGATGTTTTAGGGCTTCCCTGGGATTTTATCCTGGCACAAGGGAAAGCTGTGAGTGGAAGCAGAGCTCTGGAATATTCCAGAATAGATGCAAAATGCAGGCACATAAACTGGGGCAGAGGAGCAGCGCTGGCGCTTGGGGCTGGAGGCTCAGACAGAGCTGAGACCAGCCCAGCTCCACACAGATCCCCAGTGCTGACTTTAGCAGAACATGATAATCAAGTCCTGTCACACTCAATTACAGCCACTGGCTGGGTAGGGAAAACAGTGATGACATCCCAGAGAGCATCCTGGGAGAGGTGATGGAAAACTGCTCCCACCTCCAGGAACTGGAGTGGGTCATGGTTGCCCTGGTGCCAGTGGGAGCTCCCCAGCCCTCCCCAAACCTCCTCCTCCTCCTCACCTGTGCAATGGCCTCAAACAGTGGCAGGCTGAGCCACTTGAGGAGGGCGAAGGATCTGATGCAGCGCGTCACCTCAACGGGCGTCATGGTGGGGATGTGGGGTTGCAGGTCGGTCGCTATCTTCTGGAAGACCTGGGGCTGGTGGAAATTCAGTTTTCCTTAAAGGAGCAAAGAGAAAGGGGCAGCCACTTACAAGGAGCTGGTATGGGAGCTGTGCCTGGACGGGAGGTGGCAGCACAAGGAAAAGCACGAAGCTGTTCACTTGGAGCAGAGTGGTACTGCCCCCCCCCCCCCGCAGTTGCCTTGGCCCTATCCTTTCTGGTCAGACCAAGTCTCTACCACATCCTGCTGCACTCATCACCTCCCAGTCCTGGTGCCAACTCATGGCTCCAGCCTCCACATACTGCTGGTAGCAGAGTCTGACTCCAGTGTCTCTATCTACAGATCCTGGTCTGGCCAGAAGGGCCCTGAACTCCCTAAGGCTGTCAGAAACCTCATGAGGTTCAACCCTGCAATGATCAGCAACCAGGAGCACCAAGACCTGGAGGGGCCTGGGTCAGTGTGGACCAGCCAGGAGGGGACAGTCCCCACAAGAGGAGCACAGGCAGGGTCCGAGACCGGCTGCAGCAGCAATGACAGGTACAAACCATCCCCTCACAACAGTGTGGCAGCTACAAGCATTGAAGAGAAAGGTCAGCACAGAGTCCTGTCCAAAAGCATCTCCCCTGCAGTGGCTACAGCACTGCCAGAACCTGTCCAAACCATGTCCAGCCATTGTAGTTGCCCACTTTGTACATTTTAAGGCTGGGGAACTGCTGGATTAGCTTTGTGTATGACCCAGACTTATATATACTGTCCAGCTGCCCTTCCTTAGCTGAAGGACCTACAGCCCTGCCTCTGAGAACGGCACCCGGCATGGGTTTGGAAGACGTAGCACATGGAGCATCCACCACTCTCCTTGAAACTTGTTCCAGATTAACCAATTTACCAAAGCTGGTTACATCAACGAGAGAAGTACAAGCTCCTTCCAAAACCAGGTCTACTGGGTTATTCCTTTATTTTAAGGGTATAGCTAACTTATGAAGGCTGTCCAGGCCACAGTGGCTGTCAGAAGAGCTGTTCCCACCACCAGAAGCTGGGCAATCAACTGAAGGAGGGCTCCTCCTTGACTCTCCTGGCTTCCTTTATCTGTCCTTGTTTGTGTTTTCCACTGGCTACCAACAGTAAGAGAACAGAACCACGTAATATTGCACGGAAAGAGGAGCCAGAGAACTAAGGATCTTAAGCTAAATTAACAATCAGTGCTACTATGCTGTTTATAGACCTGCTGTGTGCTGGGTCTGTGACCATCATGTATCTGGTGGCTCTGGTCTAGCCTGGGGCCAGGAACATCACCATGATGGCTGTAACCACCCCTGTGTCTTGCTAGTGTTTGTACACTGCAGGGTAGAGGGGCTCCCTGACACAAGGACCACTCTTCCAAAGTGCACTCTCATCTCAAATCCCCTCCTTTCAACATGTTGGACGGAAAATGGCATATTTGGGTTCATTCTACCTGTGCTTGGAGCTGGAACTACCTTATTGTGCTGGATGGTATGTTAGGTCCAGCCTAATGCACGCCCATGAGCCTTTATCTGACTGTGGCAGCAATATGCCCAAAATCAACTGGACTCTACCGCCTGTAACATCCAGCAGGTCCCAACACAACCATGTTCCTTACCATAGGCAAAAATTAGGTCCATCAGGACGTTGAGGCTGAGCTCAGAGTGTTTCTGAATCAGGTGGTAGGACATGGCTCGGAGCAGAGGCACGCAGCGCCGGTTCTGGTAGGCCAGAGCCAACGTTATTTTCCGGATGTCATCGGGGTTGAACTGTTCAGCGAGCTCCAGAGCCTGCCAAGAAATGTTTGGAACAGCCATGTAAAGGGAAACCACAAAACTTGAGTACCTGGAGTCCTGCATCTAGCTCAAGTGAGTCCAGAGGCCACAAAGATGCTATGAGGCCTCCAGCACCTCTGCTATGGAGACAGGCTGAGAGAGCTGGGCTTGTTCAGCCTGGAGAAGAGAAGGCTCCAGGGACACCTTAGAGCAGTGCCTAAAGGGGCCAACAAGAAAGCTGGAGAAGGGCTTTTGCCTAGGGCAGGTAGGGAAAGGACAACGGGGAATGGCTTTAAACTGACAGAGGGGAGATGGAGATAAGATCTGAGGAAGAAGCTCTTCCGTGTGAGGGTGGTGAGGCCCTGGCACAGGTTGCCCAGAGAAGCTGTGGCTGCCCCATCCCTGGCAGTGTTCAAGGCCAGGTTGGACAGGGCTTGGAGCAACCTGGTCTAGTGGAAGGTGTCCCTGCCCATGGCAGGGGGTTGGAACTGGGCTAGTTTTAAGATCCCTTCCGACCTAAACAATTATACATCTAGGAAAGCAAGGTGCAGATCCAGCCTTCACACAGAGCTGCTACCAGCTGAGCCCCTCCATGGCTGATGGGGACTGGAACCAGCAGCAAGTATTTAGCACATAGTGAGGCTAAGCAGCTGGGAGGGAGTGTGAGGGGAAGCAGACCCTTTTTCAGCAGAATCTCCCTGCTGCCGGTTCTGCCTCCTGCAGCAGGTGGGACCTCAGCATCCACTCCATCCATAACATGCTGTCGGGCAAAGACTGACAGGGCAAAGGCATCCGCTGGTGGATCAGCACCCACTTTCCACTGTAATTTCCATGTCATTTGCAGGACACAAACCCAACATCATTAATTTGGGTTCTGCATAAGCCAACAACCCCATCAGATCCAGCTACAGCACTCTGCCCCGCCACATGCTGGTGTCTGCAGCATTTATTTATCCCCAGGGTCCAGGCAGAGGGACAGTGGGGCTCAGGAGCTACAGATGTTGCTGTGGCAGCTGTTTGGCCAGTCCCCAGCACGGGCTGGATGAGGACTGAATTTGACGCAGCTGCATTCAGGCCTCCTGCAGCGGTTCTCACCCAAGAAAGGACATTTCCCTACTCCAGTGAGGAACAGGGATGCACTGAGCCTGTGTGGAATTAGGGTTCCCACATGCAATGGGCTGAAGGTGATGGGACTTTCCCGCTGTTGTCACCTGCAGGGAGGTCGTCTGTCTGAAGAGAATGGAGATGAAAGTGAGAGCCCAAGCCCGTACCTTGTCCTCCAGCCGGTCCATCAGAGCTGGGGAGATGTGCCCGACCCTGCCCATCAGCATCACCACGGTTCGGGTGCCCTCAAGCTCAGTCCAACGCAGCTCCAGCTTCTTGATGATCTCATTCAGCAGCTGGCTCTCCTTCTCCTGCCTGACCACCAAGAACTCTGCCAGGGAGGCAAGATGCTTGAAGGTGAAGCGCCGCAGCCGCCACAGCACCTCCTGCTCCACTGACTGCATCTCCCTGCTGTTTCTGTCCATCCTCAGGGAGTAGAGGCTCTTCAGAAGGCTCACCAAGGTGTTATTCCATACGTGAGAAATCTGGCAGCAAAAAGAAGTAAGGGAAAGGTGTTGATCAGAGACAGCATGAGAGTATTGAGTTGCCAGTCATGCCAAACACCAGGCAATGCTCTCTTTATAGGAAGAAGCAATGAGGGGGAGGCAAGACAGACCTCCTTAGGCTGAGGACATCTAAGCTGTCCCTCACCATGACAGGAAACCTCTGCTCCCCCTCGTAGGTGTAGCCTGCATGCTCAGAATCAAACCAAAGTGACCCAGGCCCTGATGAAGAAGAGAAATCTCAATGCCTATATCAGAAGCTGAAGCCACACAAGGGTCCCAGCATGGATGAGCTGAGGAGTAAGCACACATGTCACTTAGAGAGCTCTCTCTGCCTCAGAAAAGAAGCTATACAGATTTGCTACCAGCTGGGTGGAATACTTACTCAGACTTCACCCTTCTCTCGAAGCATTTATGCTTCCTTGTGGTGTGACTGGTGAAATGAAGAGTGGTGGGGAAGAGTTATAACTCAGGAGCAGAAACTTGAGGGCCTCGGGGAGGAAACACCATGGGACTCCAACTCACCTCCACCCCTCATGTCAGATTAAACTTACCCTGAAAGCTCTGTTTTCTCTCCAGTGTCCCCAGAAGCATCTTCCCTGTAAGGCCCTGGCATGAGGCACTGGCACAGGCTGCCCCAAGAAGCTGTGGCTGCCTCATCCCTGGCAGTGTTCAAGGCCAGGTTGGACGGGGCTTGGGGCAACCTGGTCTAGTGGAAGGTGTCTCTGCCTGTTGCAAGGGGTTGGAACTGGATGAGCTTTAAGGTCCGCTCTAACCCAAACCATTCTAGGATTCTATTACAGGATTCTATGAAAGGAGGTTGGGCACGAATCCCACCAGCTGTTTGGAGCACCAGGACCTGCCCAGTCCATACTCTGCCCACTGAACTCTGCCTGCCCACCACTGGCTCTCTCACCAGCAGTCCCAGCATGAGGCAAAGCTCATGATTTTCCACCAGCCATTGGGCTTCCAGCTTTCACCTCTTTCAGCATTCATCAGTGAATGCTGTTTCCAGCCTCAGCTTCCCCAGCTGTGCTCTACTGCTGCTAGGCAGCACTAAAAGGCAATTACAGTCTGAAAGCTCTCCTGATTGGTATAAAACCAAATCTGATCCTTAGCACAACATTGTTTCTTATGGGCCCTTCAGAAAGCATCACTGCACCAGGTACCCTGGTACAGCGCACTGCACCTGTGCTTGACACAACATCCCAATGTTACAACATGACTGCAGAAATGAGGAGTTGCTTCGCAGTGTGGCTGTGCAGGAAGGAAGTGAGGCAGTGCTGTGAGACATTGAATTTCAGGCAGGAGGGACCATGAGGGTTTGGGCAAAGGCTTTAACTCTCTGGCCTGTCCAAACTCCATCACTTCCACCAGCATGGCAAATTCCTGAAGTTCAGCACCTCGGGCACAAGAATGACCTGAGCCCTGCCTCAGCGCTCTGCTAAAATGTAGAACAAAACCACATCAGGATGCAGCTGGGAAAGGAGCAGAGCTCATGATGTAGCCCAGTGCACTCAGGTCACAACAAGAACCAGACTGCTCCTCCAGCTGATGCTTCACCTTTTTTCCCCATTCACATGTACAAAACTCACCTCACTATGAGCCTTCCTCCTCAACGCTGTCCTGCCCCATGCCTCAGCTACTGTTCAAAATCTCTGGCTTGTGGACATAAGGACGTTGCAAGCCGATTAATTTCAGTTTCTCTGCACCAGTGTTTTTGCATCTACACAATGTTCAACTTACATTCACTTATCTACATCTGTGGCTGCAGTAACAGCTCACTGGAAAAGAACAAGCACGTCTGCAGCAAGTTTGCTTGCTTTACATCTCAAAATTCCTAGCTACACCCCCCTTGGCAGTTTCCAACACTGCCTCGCTTGTCGTATCACTTGTGCAGTGTGACAGCTTGGCTTTGCCAGCGCTGGGGCATCCCCTCTCCACCAAGGGGTCTTAAGGACCCTTTGCAAGCCCCTTTGATCAAATGGGGTGACAATGACACAGGACCAGTAAATCAGAAGGAGCAAAAATTTCAATCCAAATACAGTGGCAGAGAACCATTGCGGCCCATTACAAAGCTAAATGGGCAGCCTTCAGACAAATCCCACCTCTCTGCTACCCTTAGATGGGGTTTCGGAAGCAGAGATTATGGATAAAGATGAATACAAGGTGTCTACAGAACACTTGTACACTCAGGGCCCTACCAGGAGCACTGCCTGCTTTTTACCTGGTATTCCTTCCCCAAACTGGTTCTGCCACATGGAGGGAACTCACCTGGGAATCCATGATGCTGACAAGCTGCTGGAATCGCTTATCTAGCACAATACTCTCTGTTTCCAGCTTTTTTTCTGCTGCGAGCCGTGAAAGTTGAGTAATTATTAGGGAGGCCTGGTTGCTAGTAAGGGGATGGAGTTCAGCCAGCTGCAGGAGCTCCTGAGGACTCGTGGCTGTTTCAACCAGATCCCCGATCAATTTGTACTCTTGACTTCTGTTGTCCTCGGCCAGTTCTTTGACTGAGAATCCATCTGCCCAGCTGGAAGGGCTTGAAGTATGAAATGAAGCGAGAGGCGCTGGAGGCAGAGCTCTTGCCACCGCCACCTTCCCAGCCGGCACCAGCAGGGATGCCGGGACTGCCGAGGAAGGAGAGATTAAGGAACCGAAGTGCCGCCAGCAGCAGCGTCGCACCAAGCGGGCGGCCATGGTGGAAGGCCGGGGCTGGTAACCGGCTGGGGGTCAACACCACATGTCAGGAAAGCTGTGAAAGGAAGAGAAACACTTCAGGTACAGGAAAAGTTAATAAACACATGGTGGCCAAATTCTGGTAACGGTTGTGTTACTGCCTGTGGCAGGGGGTTGGAACTGGATGATCTTCAAGGTTCCTTCCAACCCAAAGTACTCTATGATTCTATGATTAGCAATACTGGATGCAAGGGGGCAATAAAAGGTTTCTGATGAAAACAAAACACTGCTGTGGTAGAGGCACTTCCCCGCTGGGGCTAAACTCCTGTCAGATCCCCTTAGGGGCTGCTGAACTCATGTGGCTTCCCAAGGTGGCTCGCAGCCACTTCAGAACAGCTGGCTGCAGGTCTGGTGCACACCCAGCTCCGCACCAGCCCTGACTAGGCCTCACCCGTCCCCCGCAGTGTTCAAGGCCAGGCTGGACAGGGCTTGGAGCAACCTGGTCTGGTGGAAGGTGTCCCTGCCTGTGGCAGGGGGTTGGAACTGGGTGAGCTTTAAGGTCCCTTCCAGCCCAAACCATTCTGGGATTTGATGATTCCCCTCCCCGCTGCTCCCGGTGTCCCCACACCACTTCCCTGGGCTCCCACCTCCCCTGCTCTGCCCGCGCACCTCACAGGCCCGGGGCCTAGCCCCGCCGCCGGTCGATCCCCCTTAGAGGCCCCACACCCCGAGCCCAGCCTTCCGCCCCAGCCTCTTGCTCTCAGCGCCCCCGGGCCCGCCTCTCCCCACCCCGCCGCAGGCCCCACCCGACCCGACCCGACCAGACTCGACTCGACCCGACCCGACCCGACCCGGCCCGGCCCGGCCCGGCCCCGTCCAGCCCTCCGGCCGCCGCCGCGCCTGACCTCGCCCGCCCCAGCCGCACGGCGGGCCGGCACGGAGGCGCCGCACGCATGTACGCCGGCGCAGCCTGACTGCGTCATACACCGCAGCAAGCGCCCATTGGCTTAGGAGGAGGCACTTCCGCTGCGCAGCGGCGGTGGGCGGTGAAGGCGGCGTGGTAGCCATGAGGCACCGGGCGTGGCGGCGGGTCCGGTTCCGGTGTGTTGGGGGATGGTTTGGGTTGGAAGGGACTTAAAGCTCATCCAGTTCCAACCCCTGCCATGGGCAGGGACACCTTCCACTAGACCCTGTTGCTCCAAGCCCCGTCCAGCCTGGCCTTGAACACTGCCAGGGATGGGGCAGCCACAGCTTCTCTGGGCAACCTGTGCCAGGGCCTCGCCACCCTCACAGGGAAGAACTCCTTCCTCAGATCTCATCTCAATCTCCCCTCTGTCAGTTTAAAGCCATTCCCCCTTGTCCTGTCCTTTCCTGCCCTTATCAAAAGCCCCTCTCCATCTTTCTTGCTGGCCCCTTTAGGCACTGGAAGCTGCTCTAAGGTCTCCCTGAAGCCTTCTCCAGGCTGAACAAGCCCAGCTCTCTCACCCTGTCTCCACAGCAGAGGTGCTCCAGCCCTTGGGACATCTTTGTGGCCTTCTCTGGACTTGCTCCAACAGCTCCATGTCCTTCTTATGTTGGGGCCCCAAAGCTAGATAGAGGGCTGCAGCAGGGTCTCAAGAGAGCAAAATACGGGGATAGGGTGGGTGAGCTCAGGCTGCTGTGAGCAGGAGGTGTGCTTGGGGTTGCTTCTCTACAACTCCAGGGGCTGAGCCCCCATGCTGATTCCTTCATCACCCTCCTCCTTCCTCAGACCCCTTAAAGCCCTATCACGTGCAGCCCTTTTGGCTAGAGGGCTTCTTGTGGGTTGGATTTCCCTGCAGCCCTCTCCAGGCTGCAGGGCTGATGGAGCAGCCGTGTCCTCCCCTTTGCTGTTGAGGTTGTCACCAGCAGAAGTTACCCATGTTCTGCCTCACCCACCCCCTGTGTTTCCTTTCCTGCTCTGTCCGTGTCCAAACAGATCAGGGCCCGGCTGTGAGAACTAATAAAAGGCAAATAAATCTGTGGGTTGCCAGGAATGAGGAGGGGCAGCTCAGTCTTGAGGTGGTCAAATAAAGTGGGGACTGATTTATGAGCAGGGTGTTTTCCGCAGCTCTGGGCCTTCGTGTTTGCTTTTGGGGGTGTTGCTTACCCCTGCTTCCAGCACAGGGTGAGGAGTTGGCCTGAGAGCACAGCTGTAGCTGTGTGGGATGTGATTTCCCCAACTAAAACTCTCCAAGCTTTTCCCTTTCTTGTTCCCAAAATGGCCTCACGGGATTTCATGTCTGTTGTGAAAGAGTGGAGCCTGCTCAAGGTTTATACAGGACACTTGAAACCAATACTTAGAGGTCTTGACACTGGTTTTGGTTGCTGCTAAATCCTAAGTTTGACCTAGTGCACCCTCCTGTGGGACCCAGCCTCTTGCATTGGGCATTGTCCCAATTTCTGCTCTCTACAAGTGTCCAGCACAGTGATCCTGCTTTCTGACCAGCTCCCCCCCTCAGGATCTTGAGCTTCACCATCCCGTGGTCACCACAGCCGATGCTGCCCTGACCTTCTCATGTCCACCAGCTCCATCCTGGTTTGTAAGCGGGAGGTCCAGTGGAGCACTTCTGGCTCCTCAGTTGCCTGGTTCTGGAGCCATCTTCCAGGCCCCCCATGGACTGATGCATCCAGTTCTGGACCAGCAAGTCAAGAAGGGCACAGACAGAGTGGAGAGGGTCCTGAGGAGGGCCAGGATGATGGCCGTAGGGCTGGAGAACCTGCTCTAGGGGGAAGATTGAGGGAGGTGAGTCTCTTCTCCCTGGAGAAGGCTTATGGGGACCTCATCCCAGTGGTGGAGGCTTTCAAGGAGCCATGAGGAGAAGACAAGGGACAATGGGTACAGTGAGAGGTTTCATCTCAATTTAGGTTATACAGTGAGTCATTCCCTGGAAGAACCTCCCCAGGGGCATGGTGGGGTCCCCATCACTGGAGGTTTTCAAGATGAACATGGGGTGCAGGACAATTCTATATAGGGTCCCTTCTCCATGGAAGTTTGGACCTTGTTGCACCTGGATCTTTCCAGGGCCAAGCTGGGCTGTCCCATAGATCTGTGATCGAGTGTCCATCCCTGGGGACTTCCCATGAGCTGTGACCTGGGTGCGCTTGTCCCTGCTTGATCTACAAGCTGCTGGCAGAGCGCACTCAACGGCTTTCACCAGCCACGCAGCTCTGAGCCTGCTGGCTGGCTTTGGGCTTCCACTCGCTGTGCATGGCAGTGCAGATGGTTGAGCAGAGGGTCATCTTCCGGGCAGGGTCCCTTGAGGTGCTCCTGGAGATTCCTGCTTGGCTTCGGAGAGGGCGGCCGCTCCCAAGGCTGGTGCTTGGTCAAACCCACCGTGTTTGCAGAGAGCTACAGGTGTCTTCATTGGCGGATGTTTCAACCGCCCAGCCATAAAACATCACCGGGGGCTGGAAAGCCCCGGCCGTGGGGCAGGGAGGATTCTTCATCCGGCCCCATGGGAGAATGGGGTTGAGAACAGAGGGTGTCACCCTCTGTCCCCACCAAACCCGGGTCAGCTCTGTGGTGGTCACCTGTAAGAACATCGAGTCCAACTGTTAACATGCCACTGCCAAGGCCACCACTAAATCATGTCAATCAGTGCCACATCTACATGTCTTTTAAATCCCTTGAGGGACGGTGCCTCCACCACTCCCTGGGCAGCCTGTGCCAGTGCTTGACAGCACTTTGGGGAAGAAATTTCTCGTAATATCCAATCTGTCCCTCCCCTGGTGCAACTTGAGGCCGTGTCCTCTTGCTGCTTGTTGCTTGGGAAAGTAACTAGTTGAAGGATGGACTGAAGGATGGACTTCACCTGACTACAACCTCCTTTCTGGCAGTGGTAGTATTGTAGAGGGCAATAAGGTCCCCCCTGAGCCTCCTTTCTCTCCAGACTAAATCCCCCCAGGTCCCTCAGCTGTTCCCTATCACACTTGTGCTCCAGACCCTTCACCAGCTTCACTGCCCTTCTCTGGACCTGCTCCAGCACCTCAATGTCTCTCTTGTAGTGAGGGGCCCAGAACTGAACACAGGGTTTGAGGCACAGCGTCACCAGTGCCCAGCACAGGGGGATGATCATGACCAGCGGGGCCAGGCTACGCTACTGCTGATACAGGCCAGGATGACATTGGCCTTCTTGGCTGCCTGGGCACAAGCTGCTCATGTTCAACTGTCGACCAACACCCCAGGTCCATTTCCATGGAGCAGCTTTCCAGCCACTCTTCCCCAAGCCTGGAGCATTGCATGGGGTTGTTGTGACCAAGTACAGGACCTGGCACTTTGCCTTGTTGAACCTCACACCATTGTCCACAGCCCATTGATCTGGCCTGTCCAGATGCTTCCTACCCTCCAGCAGATCAACACTCACAGCCAACTTGCTGTCATCTGGGGGTGTACCTGATCCCCTCATCCAGGTCACTGATAAAGTCACTAAACAGACTGGGCCCCAACACTGAGCCCTGGGGAACACCACTTGTGACTGGCCACCAACTGGGTTTAGCTCCATTCACCACCACTCTTTAATCCCAGCCATCCACCAGTTCTTTACCCATCCAAGCTGTGAGCAGCCAGTTTCTCCAGGATAATACTGTGGAAAACAGTGTCAAAGGCTTCATTCAGCCCTATGGGAGACCGGGCCTGGGAAACCCAACCTGGTGTCACCCTATGTCCCCATCAGACCTGGCTCAGCTCCTCGGTGGTCACCTTGGCATGGTGGTACCCAGGACCAGCACCCTCCATGGAGACGTTGTGGTTCAGCATCACCCCTGTCCTCATTTCACCCTCCCTGGGTATGCAATGTGCTCCCATGGGGGACCCCCATTGTGGGGGGACCTCAACCCTGTGGCCTCTCTTCTGCTGAGCAGTGCTGGGCCAGCTGCTGTGGTGGCATGGGTGTCAGAGGGGGATGGACTCGGCTCCTGGCCGGATTTGTCCCCCTGGGAATTCCCCAGTGTTACAGGGGGAAGTGTCAGCCCATGGGAACGCCCGTGGTGGCTGTGCCAGCACATCCAGGGCAGATCCCATAAAAGGGCTGCCGGCACAGAGGGTGGCAGGAGGCAGGATGAGGCCGTGCCAAGTACTGCTGCTGCTGCTGGGGCTGGCCAGAGCCACCACACCGGGCCCAGATGGATCCACACTGGGATCAGCTGGATCCATCCCAGTGTCCCTGCCAGGGCTCTGGACCGTGAGCTATGAGGATGCTGTCTCGGCAGCTGTGGAGCTGCTCAACACAAGGGTCATCACTCCCTATGTCCTGCGGCTCCGGGAGGCACAGCCCCGGCCCGGCTGGGTGAGTGCTGAGCTCCTCCATCCCCACTGCACCCCGGTGGTGCAGGTTCCGTTCCTTTTCAGGGCTGTATCGTCCCGTTTTGGGGCTGGGTCTGACCTACTATGGGGATGCTGCCCACCCAAGCTGAGGATGGGGCTGGCCCATCTCCGGCCTGGATGTGGCTCCTCCTGGGGCTGGATCCCTGAACCAAGTGGGTCCCTGATGGGTCCTGTCCCCTCTCCCAGCCTGGGGACCTGCAGCACCCGCAGGAGCTGAGCTTCAGCGTGGAGGAGACCTCGTGCCGGGCATCGGGGATGGCCACCACTGCCTGCAAGAGCCACTGGTTTGGGGTGAGGCTGCATCCTGTGGGTCCCCAACAGGGAACCCGAGGCACAGGGAGCGGGGTTCAGGCTCCTCTCGGCCTCGTCTTCCCCGTGTCCCACTCTGCTTCCCCACAGGCAGTAAGCTGGTGCCACGGCTATGCCTTCCTGGAGCAGCAGCAGCCCATGGTGGAGCTGTCCTGCGAGAAGATGCCCATCACGGTAAGGAGATGTCCCCACTGCACCCCCTTGGCTTTGCTTCTCTCCCTGGCTGCTGTGGGACACGTCCCCCCTGGGGGTCACCCAGCCCCCCTCGCCATCCCCCCAAGGTCTGACACCGCTGCTTCTCCTCCCAGCTCGGCCCGATCCGGAAATCCGGCATCAAGAACCTTTTTGGCAGGATCAAGGAGCGTTTCAAGGGCTTCTTCCAGTGCAGCAAGGTCTGGATCCGTGACAAACTCAACCTGAAAAAGCCTAAATCCTGAGCGGGTGATGTCGCATCCCTCCTGCCCCGTGATCCTGCCCAGGCGCTCTGCTTCCAATAAACATCCCTGCAACGATCCCAGTGTCATTCCAGTCCTGTGGGTCCCCGCGCCGCACTGTCCCTCTCTGTGCCCCGATAGGGAGTGGGGGAGCTCCCTGGTCCCACCGTCTCCCCAGTGCCCAGACAAGGGGCTCCAAGGCAGTGGGGTTGTGTCCCCAGTGGGGACTGCCAGCACTTGGGACACGCTTAAGGCCCCCACCATGCCGTGTCCCCCCCCACAATAACTGCCACTCTGTGGGCTGGGGCCAGGCATTTCCGGAGGGGGGATGTTCCCCAGCCTCCCGGAGCAGGGATAAAAGGGGATGCAGGGGGTGGCCATGGGACAAGGATGCCGCGCTCTTGGGCACTGGTGCTGGTGGTGCTGGGGGGGGCCTGCGCCCTCCCTGCCCCGGCCCCCCTGGCCTACACCCAGGCGCTGGCTCAGGCTGTCGACTCCTACAACCAGCGCCCCGAGGTGCAGAACTCCTTCAGGCTGCTCAGCGCCGACCCAGAGCCTGCCGCGGTGAGTGGCACCACACAGGGACCCCCCCACCGTGATCCCTGACTCAGGCTGCCCAGTGCTGACCCCATCCCATGGGGACATCAGGGGGACACCAGGTTCTATGCATGGGGAGGGGTTTAGAGGTGCGGGGCGGGATGCAGGGGATGGTCCTCACTGGACTGGCTCTGAGTGCCTGGGGTTGGGTGTCGTTTCTCCCTGGTCACCCTGTCCCCATCCCAGAGCATCCAGCTCAGCTCCCTGCAGCACCTCAACTTCACCATCATGGAGACGCAGTGCCCGGCTCGCTCCAGAATCCGCCCCGATGCTTGCGAGTTCAAGGAGGACGGGGTGAGAGGCAAGGGGAGTTCTTGGGGGGGGGGGGGGTGACACCTCCTGTGGGGTCCCTAACCTAGGGCCATTCCCCCCTGCATGTTCCTGCATTCAGCCCCTGCTCTCCGCAGCTCGTCAAGGACTGCTCTGCACCCGTGCCCCAGCATGGCGGCTCCGTGCTCGGTGTCACCTGCATAGACTCCACCACAGACGTGAGTTGGGGGATCCCAGGATGCTGCAGGGCCTGGAGGGGGACGTGGGGGTCCCCTCACCCTGTGACACCCCCTCTCCTCACAGCCTGTCCGGGTCAAGCGCTTCTGGCCGCTGCTGGTAACAGCCATCAAGACAGTGGCTGCTGGTGTTGGCATTTTCAAGTCCTTCAAGGGATGAGCCCCCCTCGAGGGGCTGCCATCTCCTCCCCTTCCAGTTTGGTGTCCCCCTCTTCCCCAAATAAAGCTGCTTCCCAGCCCCACTGTGCCTTTTCCTGCTGCTATCACCCCACTGGGGACTGGGTACATGGGGACAGGATGGGGGTTGATGCTGATGGAGGAGGGTCCTGGGGTGGGAGCTGAGTCCCACACATGGGCCTGGCATCATCTAAGCCCCACGGCACTGCCAATTCCCCAGGCCTCATCCTGGCACTGGCCTTATGGGGGGTCTTGCCTCCTTGGGACTGAGGCAGCACCCCAAGAGCAAAGGGTCCCCCTGGAGCTTGTGCCAGCCATGGGGTCCCCATAGGGTATGTGTGGGGCACAAACCCAAGGGACTGTTGGCCCATGTGGGGTGGGGGGGAAAAAGGGGTTACATCCCCAGGGGCCACGGGAGCCAGGGCTGCAGCCATGACCATGGTCTGGGCAGTTTTGGGTTGCAGGGGTCTCCATGCCCCAATGTCCCCATCCAAAACCGCCTGTGACAGCACTGGTGGCACAGCTGAGGCCAGTCCGTGTGCCCCAGCAGGGCATGGGTCAGTCACCGGGGACCCCTGGGAGCTGAATGCCCCATGGCCCTTCTCTTGTTCTCCATCACCCATAGGAACGATGTGGGCAGTAGAGCCCTCTTGTATCTCCATGGGTAGCCCATGGCCCTGGTGCCTCCCCCACCACCATCACCATGGTTTTGGGGGTACAGACCGCTGTGAGGACAATGACGCCATGGGAGTGATGTGGGGAGGGATGGGAATGGTGCCTTTTTTGGGAGGCGGGTGCCCTGGGGGCTTCCTGGAGCAAAACTGGGCCCTGTCCCCACTGTCAACCCCATGTCCCTTCAGGTTCAAGCTCTTGATCCCCAAGGTGGGGATATTGGGAGGTATAGGGCCACCCATAGGGACGATGTGGGCACTGGAGCCCTCTTCCCATGTGCCTCAATTCCCCCCCCCCCTGCACCCCAGGAGGCAGCCAGGAGCCAGCTCACACACACGGACCATGAACAGCCCCTTTATTGGTTCAGCCCACGCGGATGGTCAAATCGGCTCTGCCGCTGATCCTGATCTTGGGCCTAAAGCGCCGGATCTTGCCCAGGAAGCGCCCAAACCGGCCACGCTGGACCAGGACCGGCTGCCGAAGGGATAACGAGGTCATCGGGATGCTCCAGACCCTGCATCCCACCTGGAGACCCCACACCTTGGACATTGCACCCAGGACCCCACATACAGGACCGCACAGTGAGGACCCCACAGCCCAGAGCCTGCACCCAGGATCCCTGTACCCGGTTCCCCACACCCAGTCCCTGCTCCCACCACCCCTGCAGGACCGCGCACCCAGCACCCTGCACCCATCAACCCATGGGTGCCCCAAGACTGCCCCATCGCACCCTCCACTGCGGGCTGGAGTTATCCTGGTGAGATGGAGACATCGGGTTATCCCTTCTGGGGATGGCAGGCCCCAACATGCGGGGAGGGAGGGAGGGAGGAAGGACCCTGACACCCATGGGTGCCCCCACCCACTGTCAGTGGGTGCTGACCCCCAAAACTCACGTTGGAGGAGGCATCATTGCAGCTCAGGTCGATCTCAGGGGAGCTCTGCAGGAACTGCACTGGCCCTGAGCACTCCCTGATGACCTGGGGGGTAAGACATGACACCCCAGGTCACCCCAGGGGCCCCGCTGAGGACACCCAGGACCACTGTGGGTGTCCTCCCCCCATCCCCATCCTCACCCCATTCTCCTTGAAGTCGCAGTCTTCGGGGTTCACGCGGGAGCTGGGGCTGCACTCCGTCTCCATCATGCTGAAGTTGAGCATCCGCAGCGTGGTCAGCTCAAGGCCCTGTGGGGACACAAGCGTGTGTGTGGGTCACTAAGGGGGGGAGGGGGGGGGGGGAATCATCGTGGGGGGGTCCCTGTGTGGTGCCACTCACCGGGGCGGGCTCGGGGTCGGCGCTGAGCAGCCTGAAGGAGTTCTGCACCTCGGGGCGCTGGTTGTAGGATTCAACGGCCTGAGCCAGTGCCTGGGTGTAGGCCAGGGGGGCCGGGGCAGGGAGGGCGCAGGCCCCCCCCAGCACCACCAGCACCAGTGCCCAAGAGCTCGGCATCCTTGTCCCATGGCCACCCCCTGCATCCCCTTTTATCCCTGCTCCGGGAGGCTGGGGAACATCCCCCCTCCGGAAATGCCTGGCCCCAGCCCACAGAGTGGCAGTTATTGTGGGGGGGACACGGCGTGGGGGGGTCCTGAGCATGTCCCAAGTGCTGGTGTTGTCACATCTGGTCCCTACTGGGGACATGGCCCCGCTCCCCCAGGGAGCCCCTTGGGGGGAGTTGTGGGACCCCATTGCTGGTGTTGGGGCAGCAACACCAAACCTCAGGGGTTGCCCCATCTCTGTGGGGTGTTTCCTTGCCCCCCAACCTGTGTCAGCCCCACACACGCACACATATGACCCCAAAACATCTTTATTCCAGCTGCACTGGGGATGGGGGGCGGCGGGGCGTCCCCAGGAGGGATGTGCCAGCGCGGGGCCTGAGACGCTCTGGTGGCTGTGAGGAGGAGGAGGATGATGATGATGATGGGTGACCTGGGTTGGTGCCGACTGCTCGTGGGGTGCCGGGGGAGTGGGGCTGGGTGCTGGCCCTGGGCTGTTGGAGGAGAAATAAGGGTGAGCTTCACTCTGCAGCCAAAACATGTCCCCAAAGTGGGGGGGACACATCCCCACCACTGCGCCCACCAAAGGCTTGGGGACACGGAGCCCTCACCGGCTCCTTGCTGCACTCCACCATTGACAGTGGCACGTCGGGCAGGAAGGCAAAGACAGAGACCTGGGCCGTGCACCGCTGCACCTGGGGACACAGACCCTGAGCACCTTGGGGACACCTTTCTGTCCCCCTCCATGTGTCGGGGTCCCTGTCCCACGCTTACCCTGCCCGGCCGGGCTTGGCAGGCGGCCCCGCGGCGGTCGGGGAGGTTTTTGGGGCAGGCGGGCTGCCGGGCGGTGAAGTTGATGCTGAAATGGGTGCCCCAGTCGAACGTCTGCCGGGAGAACAAGGACCTTGGTGGCTTCCCAGCGCCCATGGGGAAACGGGGCCCGCCGGGATGGGTGCCGGAGCTGCATCCCCCCCCCCCAACTGCCCACCCCGCTCCTACCGTCCTGGCGACTCCCAGCATCTTCAGCAGCCGCAGCTCCTGCCCGTGGGTCTCCAGCACCGAGCGTGCCAGGTCACGGGGAGCCGGCAGCGCCGGAGGCACGGCGGCACCCGCGGCCAGCAGCACGGCTCCCAGCACCAGCGCCATGCGGCCCGGAAAGCGGAGGGAACCAGGGAAGCGGCCGGGATCGGGGATCGGCTGTCAGCTCTGCGCGGGGCCCCAGCTCCTCCGGCTTCGCCTCCAGGATAAACACTGGGCCCCGCTGCCGTGGGGAGGGGATCGGGTTGCCGGTGTTTTCCTTGGCCGGGTGCCGTGGTGGGTGCCTGCCCGGACCTGGCGGAGATGCCGGGCTGATCCCCCACCGCGGCCCCTTCCCTCCGTACACTCCCCATTTCACAGCGTGACAGTACAAGCGATGACCCCGGGACGCATCCCGCTCCTCCCGAGCCGGGTGTGAGGGCATCCTCCCGGCTCCTATGGAAAGAAAACCCAGGAACTGCCTCCCCTCTCCCTGTTTCTTTACAGTTATGGGGATGTTTTTAAACCCCTCTCACTGTGCTCAGAGCTCAGACTTGTCTAAACAGCCTGGCCTCCGAGGGAGATCACGCCATCAACCTTCCCACCCCACTTGGAAATGCCACAGCAGCTGGCCAGGGGATGAATTTCTCCTGGATTTAATATAAAAAGGGTTAATGGATAGTAGAAGCGCCCGCCTGGGGTAGGGACACAGAGGGGAGAAGCAGCACAGAGAAAGCCTGGGGCTCGTTTCTCCAGAATTCAGTAACTTTCTGTGCCTTTATGGACACTTGGCTGAAGGGCCAGGAGCTCCCCTTTGCCTTTGGTTCATTCACAAATGGAAAGCAAAGAAATGCCTGGGAAGGAAACCCAGAAGCCTGGCTGGGGGACAGCTGAGTCCCCTAGGACCACCGTGCTTTGATGACCAGCTTGGGAGCCCGTGGGTCTTCAACAGCCCCGGCTTCAGCAGGTCTTAATGATACTGCTCCTGCAAGCATGCCTGATGCAATATTCATGTCTTTATGGACAGCAAGGCCCTCTGGGAGATCCTGGGAAGGAGAAGGGATGGAAGGTGGGACAGCGGCCTGCTGGGGGAGTTGATGCACGCACATCAAAGCCTCCTCTGCACAAGGTGACCATCAGGACACGTCCTGGAGAAGATGCTATGGGGGTGGAAGGAAGAGGCAGGTCCAAGGCCATAGGTCCACAACCCCATGGCTTCCCCCAGCAGCTCTCAAGCTCAGGGACTGCCAGCAGAGACAGAAAACACTGTGTGGTCCTTCCCCGCAAGAGGATGGAGGTGCCCCATCTGCAAAGACCCCATCACAGCTTCAGCTCTGGTACTCACAGCCTGAAAAGCAACTTCATTTTCATTCCAGTGTTCATGGGTGGTTTCTTTTTTGATTATTTTTTCCTTTTTAAAGAGTTTTAGCAGCATGGAACCCCCAAATGAATAACCCAGCAGCTGATGTACATGGAAGAAATAGATACATACTGACAAACCACATTTATAGCCAGATACGTTCATTATATATACCTAAAATATACATAGTACCTGAATATATAGACATCCACATATACACCCAAAGTTCAAATCCCGAGTGACACTGGGAGTCAAGTAGGAACAAGGTGGTGGGGGGGCTGGATTTGGGGACTGGGGTGAACATCCAGCTCCTCCCTGCTTGGAATTGGGCAGGGGACAGGCTCCGAGCCCCCCAACACACTGAGATTGGGCAGGACAAGGGGTGAAAGCCTCATCCCTTTGCTGCTGCCGGTGGGATTAGTGTCAAGTTCCTCCTGCCCAAGCAGGCAGGGGTGGCAGCTGCCTGTCCCTGCCTGCCCATGGCAGTGGAAGAGGTATGGCTTTGCTGAAGGGTGGCATGGGAGGGCATGGGCATGAAGGTAGCCCCGGAGGGATGGCGGTTCACAGTCATGCAAGAGACGTGCTGAAGAGCTGATGCAGGCAAGGACTTTGCAGGGAGGGAGCTGCTGTGCTGCCTGCATGCTGCTGCTTTGGCCCTGGCAGCACTCGGCCTCACATCTTGGTCCTGGCACAAAACCCACTGTGGGCTCAAAGAGCTTACACATTCAACACTTAATTTTCTTGCCCTTCCTGAAAGATACTGGCCATGCTCTGCTCCAACTGCCTCTGAAACATCGGCAATATCCAATAATTATAAAGACATCCTGTAAGTTAAATAATACCTTGGCCTGTTTCCTATTTTGAAACCCTATGACTGTTGCTTAGTGTCATTTACATTCAGCCTCCTTGTCCAAAGCTTGCTAAAACCATGTGATGGTTTAACCGACTGGTTTTCCTCATCCTAGTTTCTCCATCATGTGGCTCTTGTGGAGAAGTTTTCCCCATCGAGCTGAAGAAAGCACAGCTCTGCTCCGGGAAGCCAGCGATGTCTTGTGTAAGAAGCACCTTAGAAAAGGCAGAGCCTGGATGCCGTCTGGGAAGCGCTGCCGGTGGTTTTTTTCTGTCTCAATAAGCCAGATGTATTTTTAAGTCATTCAAGTGGCAGTTTTTATGTTGCAATTAAGCCTGCTCCTGCTCCCCCAGCCCTTCCCAAAGGTGCAGCTGAAAGCAGACCACAGGGTGATGTGGAAAACCAACGGCGAGAGGAAGGATTCGCTTGGCCACAGCTCCGAGTGCAGGCTAACAGGCATGGAGGGAGGCGGGCAGGTCCTTGCTCGCACCAGAATGCAGATGTATTCCAACATGTTTGATCTTTGGGGAGCCTCAGCCCAAAAAGCCAAGGGTGGGGATCGGTTTGTCAAGTGGTATTTATGTGCGTGTATGTTTGCGAGTGACACTTGAGCACCTGGAAACGCACCTCTGCGGGTATCACATCATGAAACGCTCTTTGAACCCCTCTCCGTATTGTCGCTAGGAAGACAGCCCCCATTAAAACCTTTCTTCTCAGATGGTGAGGAGGGGTATGCAGCCCACCCCAACCCCTCCCTCGTGGCACACCATTGGTGCCATGAACGTCCAGCGGTTTGTCTCCGGGTCATACATTTCTACCGAGCTGAGGTTGGACTGTCCGTCATAACCCCCCACCGCATAGAGACGGCCACAGTTTGCCACGAGGGAGACGCGGCTTCTCCGGGTGTTCATGGGGACGATCAGGTACCACTGGTCCGCCATGGAGCTGTAGACTTCGGCGATGCTGAGGAAGCCCGAGCCGTCGTAGCCCCCGCAGACGAACATCTTGCTGCCCAGCGAGGCTGCTCCGTGGCGGCAGCGCTTGTTCAGCATGCTGGCAACAGGGTGCCAGGTGCCCGTGTGGTGGTTGTAGTACTCCACCTGCAGTCACAGAGAGCACATGGCGTGAGGGGACCCTCGCTCCAGACCCACCGCACAGTGTGAGCACACAGCCTGTGCTTCATCACACAACTGGAAACTGATACAGAACGCAAGTTTACTCCTTGGTGCCATATACTCAGTTTCCATGTTGTTATTAAGCTTTTCCAGCATCCCGCTGCCCCTGCCCGCAGCCCAAGAACTCACTAGCGAGTTCTGGGGGCACAGATCATTCTCCCCATCTGATATATCACAGAAACCACAGCAAATGCAGCTTTGAAGGTTCTCCCTCTACCTCTCTCCCCTTTCATCAGCTTCTGTGTGCCGTTTTAAACAAGGATCTGAGCCCCAGCATGAAAAGGATTGGACATCCGTCAATTAAAAGTTCACCTGCCACAGGATTGTGTCTCAGTATCAATGTATTCAGTTTCCTCATGCACACATTGTGTTGCTGCCCAAGGCAGAACCAGCCAAAGCTCTGTCAGACCCTAAGAGGGGCAGGTCGAAGCTGTGCTTAACAACTACCTAAGTGTCCCCTAACCTAAAGGAGACCCTCTCTCTCCCCTGGCAGCAGATTTAAGCTGTAACAGTTCAAATTTTCCAGTTTCTCATGTTGGATGACCATCAGTCATTATGTGGTTCAAGCCTAT